GGCCTGAGGATTCGCTCGAGACCTTCACTCACAAGATTGCCTTGAAGGATCAAGACCTGTCGGCCTTCAGATCCCTCACCAGTGGCCATGCGGGGGGAAACCCAGTCCATGGCAGTCGTAACCTTGGGTTTAGGTCGCAGTCCCTCGCTAGTACTAATGCCGGCGTCCCCAGGTCCAGTGTGCCAAGTGCGCCAGACATGTCCATGGATTTGGACCATGTCCGGCAGCGTTTCACGGAGGAAGAGCTTGAGGTTGCGGCCATGCAGACTCGCCAGCATAGTGAGGGTCGAAAGTGCTTCCACTGCGGCAAGAACGGCCATATCAAGGCAAACTGTCCAGATAGAAGTAAGCCGCGATGCTACGGCTGTGGGATCCCTGGACATAGAATAGAGTACTGCCCTGGCAATAAAGGTCGCAATTCTTCATCGTATATTTTACAGTCCTATCACCTAAAGAATGGCAATACCCCAGAAAATTATAAAGAGTTGAACCGGCCGGTGCACGAAGTACGCGCAAAGGTCGGAACCTTAGGGGCACGCGTGCTGATCGACTCCGGTGCTTCCGGTAACTTCGTCTGCTCTGAATTCATAAGGGATCTCAAGAAGGAAGACTACCGTTTACTACCCTTACCTAAACCAGTCAGGATCCTGATGGCCCGTGGCCAAAGCTCTGTCTCGTCAACCACGGCTACTCTTGCTCTCAGTATGGGCGACGAGGTAATGAGAGAAACGGGAGTCGTCGTTGATAATTTGAGATACGATATCATCCTAGGGCAACCCTGGCTGCGAAAGTGGAACCCGCAGGTAAATTGGCGTACTGGAATATACAAATGGCAAGGTCGAAAAGGTTGGCAGGCGATACGCAGCGTAAGGGAGGAAAATAATGGCCAGCTGGCTTCAAATATTGAATCTACCGGGGCGAGCGACAATAAGAGCGTTAAGGAAACTGCAGAAAGGACAATGGAAGGAGACGTCATAAAAAATGTCGCAGAGACAGTGGCAGGCACAGACGAATTGTGGAATACGACAGTAAGAGAGGGCGAGGAAGCAACAATGGGAAATGTGAAGAGCGATGGAATGGAGCAAGTAGAAATGGTGAAAGCAAATGAGGAGACAAAAAATGGGGAATCTACAGAAAAAGAAAAAGATCATCTGATCTCAACATCTGCAGAACATGAGGCCAAGAACCGTACAGACGTTCACCTCGTCGGAGTGAAGCATTTCAAGAAGATCCTGAATACTACAGAGGATTATGGAGTTTGCTTTATCAGTGGGGACGAAGTAGAGTTAGTGGTCAATTCCGTTGACGCCGCCGGTGAGGGAGCAGAAAAGGTCCCAGAGAGATACCGCGCGCTGATAGAGGAATTCGCAGACTCCGTCTTCGCCGACTTGAACAAACTTCCCCCACACCGTCACGTTGATCATCGCATCGAGACTGGCTCGGCCCTCCCTATCGCCATGCCGGTGCGGAGGATGTCGCCTGAGGAACTGGATGCATTAAAGGAGCAATTAGAAGAGCTGCAGAAGAAAGGCTTCATTCGGCCCAGTATTTCCCCTTGGTCAGCGCCCGTTGTATTCGCTAGGAAGAAAGACGGAAGCCTCCGTCTGTGTGTAGACTACCGCGCGCTCAATGCAATTACCGTCAAGAATAAGTACCCTCTGCCACTCATTGATGAATTCTTCGACCGACTCTCAGGTGCAACCGAGTTTTCTAAACTCGATTTGCAATCAGGCTTCAATCAGATTCGAGTTAACCCCAGCGACGTGGAAAAGACCGCTTTTGGTACCCGCTATGGTCACTTTGAATATTTGGTGATGCCTTTTGGTTTGACTAACGCACCTGCGTCCTTCCAGGGGATGATGAATGAAGTTCTGCAAGGCGGTCTAGATAAATTTTGTTTAGTCTTCATGGATGATATCCTAGTATTCAGTCGCAACCCTGAGGACCATAAGGAACATTTGCGTTGGGTACTTGAACGTCTGGCGAAATATCAACTCAAGGTCAAGATGTCCAAATGCGAATTCGGCAAGCCTGAACTCCTCTTCTTAGGCCACGTTGTGAGCGGTGAAGGCTTGAAAGTCGACCCCTCAAAGACAGAAAGCATCCAATCATTGACGGCGCCCACCAATGTTCAAGAGGTTCGTCGATTTTTAGGTATGGCTGGCTACTACCGCAAATTTATTAAAAATTATGCCTCTCGGGCCGCTCCCCTCACAGATCTCACAAAAGAAAAAGACAACAACAAAATCAAGACCAGACCTCTCCCCTCGCCGTGGGGCGAGAGAGAACAAGCTGCCTTCGACGACCTCAAGCAAGCCCTCGCCTCAGCTCCCGTTCTACGCCTTGCCGATTTTTCTCGCCCCTTTTTCATCGAGACTGATGCGTCCCTCACTGCCATTGGCGCCGTCCTGAGTCAGGACTTTGGTTCAAATGGCCTGAAGGAAATGCACCCTATCGCTTTCATGTCGAGGAAATTAGATGAGGGTCAGCAGAAATGGCCAACACATGAGCGCGAATTGTATGCAATTGTGCGCGCTTGCGACGAATGGCGTACTTATATCCAGGGCAGAACAGTCAACATCTTGACCGACAATCACAGTTTGGTGTTCTTAAAACGACAAAAAGGCATGAGCAGACGCATGGCGGGATGGAGCCAACACATGGAGCAACAAGATCATGTTATCATCTATCGTCCGGGCAAGGATAACCCTGTTGCCGATGCTCTTTCTAGGCCTAATGAGGAGAATACCAAGGACGTCACCTGCAACTTCATGGAACTCGCCAACGGGGAGCTCGGAATAAAAGAGAGTAACCACGACGCAGGTGTTGAGGCGTTCGAGGAGGCATTATTGATGGCCATGGAAGAGACAGAGTTTGACGAGACATTGGAAGATATGGATTGGCCTCTATTAATGGTCGAGTATAAGGAAACGGGCACCCTCGCTGACCCCGCACACCAGGACTTCCTAGGTTTAATGAGGGAGGAAGAGGATAATTTTGTGGTGGAAGACGGGAAAGTGTTTAGAGTGATGGGTGATACGCAAGTAGAATTTTTAAATTTCGCTCGGCGCGCAGATTACATGGCCAAAATGCATGAAAGTATGGGACACCCCGGTGCGCAAGGCTTATTTGAACGCATCCAGCCTAGATATTGGTGGCCTCGTATGCGTGAGAGCATTCAAGAAGCATGCCGTACTTGCAAGGAATGCCAGCTGACTCGCGGAGGAGCAACGGTCACCGAACCTCTCCACACTTTCTCGGTGGCTAAACCCTTCCAACGCTGGGGTATCGATTTCATCGGACGCTGTCCCAAGACTAAGAATGGAAACATGTGGATAATAGTCGCTGTAGATTACGCTACTAGCTGGACAATAGCCAAAGCTACGCCTGACGCCACTGCCGAGACAGTCTCAAATTTCATTTATGAGGAAATTGTCATGAACTTTGGTTGCCCCGCAGAGCTGATTTCCGATAGAGGCAGTCAGTTCATGTCAGAGGTCCTGCGAGAATATCTTAAGAAGATGAAAGTTAAACACCGGCTCACCTCCGCGTATCACCCGCGCACAAATGGCAAAACCGAACGCACCAATGGCATCCTCGGCGCCGCATTAACAAAATACGTCGGTGATAAGATGAAGCACAAGTGGGACCTCTTTCTAGATCAGGCACTTTTCGCCTGCCGCACCAGAATACATAGCGTATCTAAGAAGTCACCATTCTACCTAGTCTATGGAATCGAGCCCACGATACCTGGCGACCTCACTCGTCCTTATGTATTCGATGGAGCGGTTTTTACAGAGGTTCAAGCCGCGAGAGAGGCCGAGCTTGAAAGATTGAGACTTGAGAGGCTATCAAACGAGGAGCGGCAACAGGAAGCCGCAAGGCTCATGGAGGAAAGGTATAATGAGAGACATGACATCGACCCCGAAGCTCCGAGGCAAGTGTACGAGATTGGCGACTGGGTTTTAGTAAAAAACATAGCGAAAAGGAAATTTGAATACCCTTGGTATGGACCATTGCGTGTCGAGACGATTACCCCTTTTGGCGCCTACAAGCTTATCTGGCCCGATGGAAAAGCGAAAATGGACCTTGTGCATAAAGACCGTCTGAAGCCAGTGAATCTACCCGCGGGTAGTCCAGAACCGACGCGCGCATGGTATAAAACCCGCAACAGTCGCGATGAACTCACCATCCCCATGGAGACCATTCAAGAAGAAGACGAGCGAGGGCCTCAGTCGGAGCCAGAAGTAGGTACAGCAGTGCAACCCATACCCCTCGAAGGTTCATCGCGTACAACGGCCCCATCATCATCAGCAAGGCCCGCAGCTACCGCATCGCCCCCTCCTGCGCGACCACCACGTTCCCTCTCAAGGCCCAATCCAAAGATTGACGCCGCAGGGGCGGCTTGGATTTCTCGTGGGGAGTCTGTCCTAAATCGAGGCAACTTAAGCTCAAGTCCTATAACAAGTGACGTCATGGTAGGTAGGACCAGAGGTATACCTATAGTGGTACCCTCAAACCCACCCCGTCCTGCCTGGACGTGAGCTCAGCCACCCGATCCTCCCCGCTATAATAAATAGTGGACTCTCCGTCCCTGAAGTGTTCCTTACCTTTATCTTGGTACAACACTTCAGGTATGCAACCTCATTCATCTCAGCACTAGTTACTTGTATAGTATTATATGTATCATAAACTAATAAAGACCTTTATCTTGGTACAACACTTCAGTGTGTTCTATGTATTTGCGTCTCGTTGCGGTTTTTAAGGGCATCTCAGTATAACCCCCCGGTTCTTAAGACAGTGATTTTTTCAAACCTCCATCGGAGGCTCGTTTAGCTTAGTCGGTAGAGCACCTTTCCTTCCTACCATAAATTTTTTAATAAAATTGTGGTTGCCTTTTGCAAATAAAGAAATACTTAATTTACTCAGCCAATTCGCAACGGTCAGTCCAACGGATAGGCCTATTCTCTTACTTTTATCTCCCCCTTCCCCTTCATCTAATGGCGGATCGACTTCCACCGCCATCTCCCCCTCCGTCTTCCTCGAATGAGGTAGATGAGGGACACGATCCCCTGGCTCAGGCAGGGGATGTAGTAAAAAACAATAAAATTAAGCAGTCCCTGAGCTTTGCGGAGATGGCCCGCAAAAGCTTATCCAAGAAAGAAGTGCAGACCAGTTGGAATGCACTTCGTAAGAACGCAGTTGTCCGTGCGTTCAGCACAGAGGTTGAGGAGCACTCTGTGTTTTTCACCCCACACCACGCTCCCACCACCTTCGCTGTCAAGTATGACAGGAAGACTCACCTCGTCTCTGACGTGGTGGAGGCCATTCGCCTGGCTTTCCCCAAGGCAGTTGGTCTTGACCCTGTTGTCCCAGGGGTCGTAGTGGTTCTCGTGAGGACACAAAAAGAGGTGGACGAGGCCATTGCGTCTCCTCCTCTCCCCTGCAATCCTGCTCCTGTCAGAGCATACCATACGGTCCATTCCACAGGAAGCCGACTCAGGATTCGGGTTGACCGAATCACCCTCTCTACTCCGGAGGATCGTCTGGAGTATATCAAAAATATCTTTGGTAAATTTGGCCGTGTAATCCACACCAAGTTCCATTACGTCAAGGGATCGGAGACTCTTTTGCTCCCTTCCTTCGAATTTGTGTTAGAGCTCTCTGGGGACTCCCCTCGAGACCTCCTTATCCCCCGCGTGGCCCAAGCTGAGGGTATTAACACGCTTTTCCACTGGTATGGGCCCCAGTACTGCTACAAGTGTGGTGAGGAGAACCACGTCAAGCAGTCCTGCCCCCAACCACCCGAGTTCGATCTCCTCTCGGCCCCTAAAAGAGTCATTATGGCTCGCGCGTTCTTGCCTGCGAACGCGCCCGCAAGGGCCCCTCCTGCGGTCCCTCAAGCTCCCAAGGCTACCAAGGGTCCCAAGGCTACCAAGGGTCCCAAGGTCAATAAGGACACCCCATCCTCCGACAAGGAGGAATGGACAACTGTCACCTCCACCAAGAGGAAAAAGGCAGCAAAGAGGACTTCTTCGCGGAGCACAGGCTCAACTTCGGCATCGGAAAGTGATGTCCCAAGGAAGAAGATTACCGCTCGCAAACTCAACACCAAGGAGAGCACCTCTGCCCCCGCCCCCGTATCTTCCGGTCCCACACAACAGGAGCCAACTGTTTTGATAGAAGAGATCAAGGTAGCTGATGCTGCCGCTTCTCCTTCTTCCTCAACACAAGATGTCACCTCAGGTCCTGCAGATACACATGCGTCTGTGGATCAGTCTCCAGAGGCACCTAGTGCAGCTGAGACGGCGCCGCTGCCGGAGCCTCTTTCCGTCTCCTCAACTGATGCCATTGTTAGAGACGAAGAAATGGACTTGACTACCGAAAAGACCATAGAAGAACATCTTGACTCCTCCTCCTCCTCCTCCTCCTCCTCCCCTGCTCCTCCCCTCCCTGTCCCCTCGGCTATCCCCATTGTTGAGGACTCTGAGATGGATACCATGCAAGAAGAAGGATCAGAAACAGTACTGACGCCAACCAAGCCTCGCCAAGTCTCTGGCAAAGCAGTATCAGCGGTCTCGTCAAGGCTGAAGCGGACCTTCGTTGACCCTCTCACCGTCTCGAAGGCCTCGCGACCTTCGAGAACACCTACTGCAAAGAACAACGATGCTAGATAATTGCCCTGGGGAGCGGGCCAGGAAGTCACTCAGTCTTAAAAAAAAAAAAAAAAAAAAAAAAAAGACTCAAACTCCCTTTGCGTGCCTTGCTCCCCTCACAAGAACCGTATGCTTTCACTATTTTTTTAATCAATGATTGATTTTGAAAATCTAAAAGTATGCACACTCAACGTCTGTTCAATTTTCAACCAAGAAAAACGAAGGACGCTCTTCCAATGGCTCAAGACTCAGCCATACGATGTCATTGCTTTGCAGGAAACAGATACCCAGCATCCGCAATGGACAACAGTCAAAAATAATCAGTGGACAAGAGAATGGGGTGCAGGAAAAGCAGTGTTTACAAAGCATTGTGCGATCCTCATCAACAACCCTCGTCTCTTCTACACTCTAAAACAAGACTTTCTCAATGGACGTATTTTAGCGATCGATCTGTATGTCGATGACAACATGGATGAACGTCTTCGCATGATCAACATTTATGTCCCGAGTTCATATGTTTCGGATGTCTCCCTTTCAGAGTTTATTGAAGAATTTCCTGATGAACTCCTTACGCAAGATGACTACCCTCTCGTTGCCCTTGGTGACTTCAACTCTGTCACCAGCACTACACTAGACCGCAACCCTCCCACCAACGATGTTAGAGCCACCCGCTGGCCTCGCCTTGGTCCACTCTTTACAAGACTAGGTGTGATCGATGTTGCCCCTCCTCCTTCTAGAGATCCCGCTGGAGATATTGTCGAGACCCACTTCACTCATGTTTCGAGACTTAGATGGTGCACCATGACAAGGATTGACTATATTATGGTCTCTCATGCTCTCTTGCCCACTGTTTCTAGTTACAAGGTCTCTACTATGCCGATTATCAAGACTGATCACAGGATCGTTGAAGTTGTGATAAACACCTCCAAACGTCCAAACCCTCCGCCTCGACCCATGCCTGCCCTGCCTACTGGTAACGACGATGATGATGAGCCAACAGCAGCAGCAGCACGGAATCCGGCAGTGATCACAAAGCCAGTCCTCATCCTTGACACTCGAATCTTACGCGACCCTGCTTTCCAAACCGAGATCCGCTCCCTTATATCTCGCTGTCTGAGGAAACGCGCCTCTCATCCTACTCTTTTTCAGTCCGCTGGAGAGTTTTGGGATGACTGTAAGAAAAAGTGCTTGTTTGCAGGACTACGATATCGCAAAAAGAAGCGCTTCAATGACACTAGGGTAAGAATCGACCTCCAAAAGACTCTGAAAGAGGCTGATCTTGCCCTTGATAACCAGCCAAACGACCCTGACGCCATAAGCAATCTTTTCGAAGCGAGGGAGCAACTACGGAAACATGAAGCGTATCGCATGGAACGAGACATCACTCTGTCCAAGATCGAATGGATTGAAGAAGGTGAACGAGCCTCGCCGCAATTTACCAAAAAGCTCAAGAAAGGCTATGCAAAGCGCTCTATCTTGTCGCTCAAGGACAGTTCCGGCAACCGCACAACTCTGCAACAAGGAATGGAGGAAATAGCACGCTCCTTCTACGAGAAGCTATACACCTCTGGACACACTGACGAGGCCGCCCAGGATCTCTTGTTGGCTGAAATCACCGACAGGATTCCTCCCGCTCTCACCACTAGTCTTGATGCTGATATCTCTCTTCAGGAGATTGAAGCCTCTATAGACTCGATGGCTGATAGATCCTCGCCTGGTTCCGATGGTCTTCCTTACGAATTCTACAAGACCTTCAAGAGAGAATTGGCTCCTATATTGCTCGAAGTCGTTAACAGTGTTGATGTCGAAGGTGGTGACCTCCCAGTCTCTCACCGGAAAGCCTTGACAACGTTGATCTTCAAGAAGGGTGACAATGAACTGATGCAAAACTATCGTCCCATCTCTCTGACTCAATGTGATTACAAGATCTTCACCAAGGCTCTGACTAATCGCATCAATCCTGCAGCTAAACAGGTTATAGGTGAATGGCAAACTGGCTTTATTCCAGGACGACAAGGTCATGACAATGTCAGGTTGCTAGAACTAGTGGCTCTCTCTCTTCAGTCTGGAGATAAAGGAGATGCTGCTATTCTCTCCCTTGATCAAGAAAAAGCGTACGATCGTGTCGAGTGGTCATATATGCATCGAGTCCTAGAGGCCTTTGGCTTTGGCCCTCGCATTCGTTCCTGGGTGCGAAGCTGCTACTCTGATCTCTCTGCCACCATTGTCATGAACAGAAACCAATCGAATCCGTATCAGGCACGCAGAGGCTTGCGTCAAGGTGATCCTCTGGCTCCGCTCCTGTTCAACTTTGTCTTGGAACCTTTTCTTCTGTACTATGAGCATCACGCGACGGGCATTCCTACTGTTGGTATTCCTTTTAAAGTGGCTGCTTTTGCTGATGATACGACGCTTGGTGTTGCTCCAGGAGACGAACAGCATGTGTTGCGTGCTATCGAGCTGCATGAGTATGCGTCTGGTGCCAAGGTGAACAGACAAAAGACGGCTCTGATCCCGTTCACGGCGAATGCTACGATGGTGATCCACCTTAATGGCTTCATTGCTCGTCCCTTTAATGAACCTTTTGTTCATCTCGGCGTGGTTATCCAAGCTAAAGGTCGCGACCTGCCAGTCATTGAGCGAGCTCTCCTACAAACAATGCAGACGACGGTTAGCACCTGGCGCTTTCGACGTCTCTCCTTTCAAGGACGAGTGACGGTTGCCAACACTTACTTTCTTTCCAAGCTTTGGCACGTTGCTCCTTTCTACTCCTTTTCTCCAAACTTCTTCAAGTCGATTGACAGGTTGACAAAGAAGATTTTGTGGAATGATCAAGTTTCTCGAGTCTCGCTGGCATGGTATCGCCGACCCAAGAACAAGGGAGGCTGGAACCTAATTGACCCTAGGACCCAGTGCCAGGCACTCATGGCTAAATGGATGGCTCGATGGCAGCTACAGGATGCACGATGGAAGCCTATATTCACAGACATGGCCCAATCGTACTACAGAAAGACCTCTGTCCAACAGACAGAACAATTTTTGGAAGCTCCTCCTCTTGCCTCGACTGACATCCGCCATAGAACTGAAATCCAACGCGCAAGAACCTCGGTCTTTGAGGCTGTCAAGGCTTTTGCACAGCTGGACGTCAAAAGAAAGGTCACTCCTGCTGATCGTGTGCCTCCTGCACTTGCTCAAGCTCGAGGACTGACGACAGTCTTTGGCAAAGATGTCCCCATGGCTCTATTCACGGTCAAGAAGGCTCGTAAGTATATTGAATGCAATGCGCTGAAAGCTTGGATAGCTAAGCCTGTCTCTCGTAGCATTTACCTTCGCCCGCCAATCTACAAGCACATCAGGTTCATGGACCGCAAACCATGGCCGAATATCCAGCACACTCCTATTCCTGACAAACAGTGGGATCGCTTTTTCTCTGATCGGTTGCACAGCAAACACAGATATACAAATGAGCGACACCACCTGTACCTGGTTGCACACCATGTCTACCAGACGAATGGAATCAAGAGCAAGTACAAGTACAACACCCCGGTCTCTCCAGATTGTCGACGATGTGGAACAGATGGAGCACCAGCAGCCTTTGAGTCTCGAGGGCATGCCTTTCATGACTGTCCAGAAGTGCTAGAGTTGTGGAACGCATGTCGAGGATGGATAAAGGAATTAGTGCCTGAGCTAGATCTTCGTGATAATGCTGCACAAGACCAACTATGCTGGCCCGAGGTCAAGTCGCTGCCTGCAGTTGTCATTCACATACATGCAACTGTCACGCAAGTGATTTTCAAGACTTACTGCAAGTTGGGAGACAAGGAAACAGTGCCAGAAGGCGTCCTCAAGGCTAAAGCCATAGCAGCGCTGCGATACCGCATCAAACTGGAGTGGGAAAGAGCGCACTATAAGGATCAGGTCGAGCGAGAGCGACAGAAGAGTGGAGAGGTTGCTGACGACGACAGTGAGGATGAGGACAATGATGACAACAATGTTCAAAAGTTTCTGCAGGAATGGAACTATCCACCACACATCCGAGTGGAAGGAGAGGAGCTAATCTTTGGAGGGATAATGAATATTGCGACAGTAGCAGCGATGAACAGACCAGCGATAGAAGGAGCAGAGATGGAGGACGAGGTGATGGAAGAAGAAAGAGAAGTTGGTCAGGAAGAAGTTGCAAACAGAGAATTCACACCCTCTCTTTTTTAAAAAGAGGACAAGCGTGTGAATTTTTTTTCAGTTCATTTTTTTAAGGTTTCAGATCTTTTTTTTTTTTTTTTTTGCTGTTTAATTTTTTTCTTTATTTCTGTCTCAGTGCAAATGTACTAGCTACGGCGACACACTTTACGCGCTGTCCGACAGAACTCCCGGAATTTGATATCAGACTCAAGTTGCCGCAGAGTCTGATGGATCGCATCCTCGGACTTCTCATACCTAGAGAGAAGCCCAAGGTAGTAATTCCTACTTTCCTCGGAGACCTCCCTGTAATGGAGGATCCGACGGGCCCTCGACGTGTACCGGTAGAGGTCCGCAAGCTCCGACACCAGTACGGAATGGAGCTTGTCTTCCTCATCTGAGTCAACAGACTCTTCAAGCGACTCCGAGGATCGCTTGCGGGACAGGGGTGGGTTACCCCTATCCGACGAGGCAGCGGGAGGAAAGAAACGTTGACTTGCGGGCACCTGAGGACTCGGGGACAGCAAAATAAAGGTCTCATCAGCACCGACAGAGGAGATCTCATCAGGGATCTCAATCGCAGAGAGGTTGGATGAATCCGTATGCCACAGAGGCAAAGTCTCTTCACTCTTCACCTGCGATAGAGCAGGCGAGGAGTGTCTGGTGGCAGCACCAGAAGACGAGGAAGCAAAAGACCCAACAACAGGCAGGGAAGACTCCGCACCGGCACTGGTCGTGTCAGAGCTAACTGACTCAGGAGAAGGCTCCCTACACTTGACGGAGGCACCTCCGAAGCTAACACTACGACGAAGAGAGGCAGACATGGTTGTTGTTATAGTTGTGGTGGAGGTGGAGGAAGGTGCAGACAGGAAACTTGAAGCGAAAAGGCAAAGGTTGCAATGAGTTGAGGAATGAGGAATGGAGCAGAGATGGAGCTGCAATTTATGTGTTTTTCCGTCTCATGCTGCCATCGCCATTCCCAGGCTCGTCTCTGACTCATTCTTCCAGCTGATCAGATGGTGTGCTCATGCATCATTCTGATTGGTCCAGGCGCAGGCTTGGCAAACATTGCCTATAAAAAGATTTCAGGAAAATAAGGAACATGGAGATGGAGATGGAGATGGAGATGAGATGAGAAGAGACGAGGAGGAAATGAGGACATGGCGAAAATGATGGTGATGAGCGGAGGAAGATGTCATTTTCAAGTTGATCTTTTTTTCTTTCTTTCCTTTTTCCCTTTTCTCCCTTTTGGTGGCGTCTTGGTCTTCTCCCTTTTCCTTATTTGCTTCGCCTTTTTATATTTTTATTTTTTATTTTTTATTTTTTATTTTTATTTTTATTTTTTATTATTTTATTATTTTTATTATTTTTATTATTTTATTTTCACCTCTCCCCCTTGTACACTATTCCCTATACCCTTTCTTTCATGGATCCACTCGGCGGTACTGCATTAGGTTCGGTCGGTGGCCTTCCACAATATTTCCACGATAGTCATTTTTCAGCTCATGCCCATGGCGCTTTTTTTCGTAGTATAGAATATGAACTAGAGTAGAAAGTCACGTGGGAGAATACCGGCGCGAATCGTAGGAACGACCCGGCTCCAGAAATAAAAACCTCCATCGGAGGCTCGTTTAGCTTAGTCGGTAGAGCGTCGTGCTAATAACGCGAAGGTCGCAGGTTCGATCCCTGCAATGAGCATAGACACTTATTCATAAGTGTATTTTTTATCTTTTAGGCTCGTCACCAGCCTGAGGACGAGCCTAGGGCTGGAAGAATTTTTGAGTGTTTTGGCTTGGATCCAAAAAGGAAATCGCTTAGTTTTTAGAATAGGTAGCTCAATTCAATCGAAAATTTTCAAGCATGCTTCGAAGTGAAATGAGTGCTGATTGAATTAAATTGCTATTCTAAAACAAAAATATAACACTTCCTTTTTGGGATCCAAGCCAAAACACTCAAAAATTCTTCCAGCCCCTCTAGTCATATGTGACCTAAAAAGGAAACTGATATGTTTCCTGTCACATTTCAAACTAGAGAGGGCTGGGTCGAGCCTACTTTGGCAGCGTTATTTGGCCTCTAACTTTTTTTTTTTTTTTTTTTTTTTTTTTTTTCAAGTAGGTCGCTCATACGGTTTTGGAGGTGCCATTTGGAGATCAATGCCTATGAGAGGTTTTCGCTCGGAGCAAACGCGTCTCACCTGCTACCTAGATGTCTTCAATAAAACACTCCCTAACTGTGTACATTGAAGGCTGTTTTGTGAAGATGTCATGTCCTTAGTACCTCCGGGGGGTTAATATTTCTAGAAAAAAGATATTTGCACGGGCCCGTACAAATATTTAAAAAATCTATTTGCACTGCCTCGTACACACCTTATTTACAGCTCCCCCGTGCAAATAAAAAAAAAAAAAATTGCACGAGGGCCTTTTTTTTTATTTGTACGGGGTCTTTATTTCAGCCCTAAACACCATAACCAGGAAGCCTTCCACGACACAGGCTTAGATCTAGAGCCGCTGCCTAAGCATCAAATACTGACCTGAATATTTATCTTATCAAGGTCGTATGTAGCTCAGAGTAGATGTTGGCATTCTTTATGCGACTCTGGGACTAAATACAGAATTACAAATGATTTATCTATAATTGAAATATACTATGCCACTCTACTTTGAACTTTTGTTGGCCGTGTTACTATAGATTGTGGATGGTTCCCCGATACTTTCTTTCATTTAGCGCGTGCATACATCTCTAGTATTTCCGTACACTATTAAGCACACAACGATGAGTTCAGTTATTAGGAACCTCTAATGTGTAATTTGTTTCGGTAGATATACAAACAATCATACTACCATACCCATATCTAAATAGCTAGAATACTTTAATAGCATAACCGTGACTTATAGTGATAGAAAAAGAGGCATAAGTTCTCTTTTCTGTTACATTGATAAAGATCCTTATTTTTGTCTCTTGCATTTCAAGTTTGTTACCATGTTCAATCAGGGTTGATTTTTCACCAATAATAGCCAGAACTTACCTCGAGTCGTCTTTAGCACGCAGTGTCACATACTCAGCAGCGTATGTAGATGCTCATGCGTTCAGGGACTAGCTTCATATTGTACAACCACCTGAAAGAAAGTTAGGTCAAAAAAATAAAATTTTCAAATGGTTATGAAGAGAAGCACTGTCTTCAATCCTATTTCTTGCTGTTTTCCGTCAGCATGTGCTGTCCAAAAACTTCAGTGATTATCCACATTGGCCTCATTAATAAAAACGTAAATTTCCATCTTGGTTGATGAAGTATTTTTGTGTGTCACAAATGAGCTGTTCGTCAGAGATTCAAAATAAAAAATAATAAATAACCCACTTTGACCAGACTTACTTTTGGGTGATTGTAGAGCCGAATAGAGCGTGAAAAATATTTTGTAGATAGATAGTAAGCAGTAGAAAAGTAAGTGAGAGTAAGATATGGGCCCACACCACATCCATAGGGTATTTGTTCATTTTCTACTAGAGGGACATACCAGGTAACTACGTACCTATCTGTAGGATGACACAGGTTCGTTTTTAATACTTCATATCAAAGATTTATCGCGTCTATGTGTGGCGCGTTATTGCCACTATTAGCACACTAGTGTTTTTTACTCCAGCTAGGCCATCATGATATTGCATACTGTGGAATATGCAACAGGGCGCGATGAGTATCACAGCTCCCACGGCGCTGCAACTCCCAAAAGTAATAATTCCAGACTCCTCTCTACTCTAGGCTGACCTTCGCTTATCTCCTTCGAAATAAAAAGCTAGGATACATGTTGCTGCTTGTAGATGAAATAGAGACCCCGTACAAATAATTTTTTTTTTATTTGCACGGGTAGAGCAGTGTAAATAAGGCGTGTACGGGGCAGTGCAAATAATTTTTTTTATAAGTGAAAATTTATTTGCACGGGGGCCGTACAAATAACTTCATCCATATTTCTATCTTTCAATTAAAGTCCGCCTTTAATTGATGGGCTTACTCTAAATAAAAATGTTAATAAACAGGAAGCATTAGGATCACATAATTGTGTTGTTGATGTGCCTCTAACCATTACTATTACTAGATTGTAGCTGAATATCGCGGTGGACCTTTTTTTGTTGGATTTAAAGTCCATCAGGAGCTCCTGCGCTTCTCATCAACACTGGATTATCCTCAGTAAAGGAGATACGAGGGTTTTTGCAGATAAAATAAGAAATATAAACCAAATAACGCCAGGTAGGTTGTCAAGCAAATCGTGAGGGTGTTCCTTGGCAGCTGAACTGTCAAAGAGAGTCTTCAAAGTTGATTATATTTGGCACCCGGGCTGTTAATTAGATGAATCCTACTTTCTTTATATCGATCGTATCTATTTTTTATTCTATAACCTAGAGTAATTAAAAGTACCATTCTATTTGAAGAATCCTTTAAATTAATGATTTCCCATGCCATCCTTTGATCGTCATGTTGATCGCAGTCCATGAAGAGTCAATGCTCAATCAAGGGATCGTCTAGGGGATCCAGATATCCCAGCGAAGGCAGATGTGAAGTTGCAATGTAGCTAAAGTCCTGGAAATGATGACGGTCAGGCGAGCTAGAGCGTGTCTTGGCCATGGGTATACCAGCTGGATGATGATCACTCTCTCCAACACCATCGACAGGGAGTCCTGAAAATTGGGTATGATGGTCAGAGACTATTTTTGGAGCGGTCGTTCGACCGTTCTGATCTACGCCCACGCCATGTCCGTTGGTGAATCCATGAATACTCGAATTGTGGATTAAAATTGGCGATTCTTGCACCGGTAGACTTGTAAAGTCTGAATTGAAATTCTCGACACTTTCAGGATCGGACAGGAAAGGTACGATAGGAGGGTCCAGCTCACGAAGAGCCAGCAATTTCCAGTTGATTTTACGGAAAAATCGATGATTTTTGATGTTCTCGATGCCCTTGGGTCCATATCCAAGGCGAGCAGAAGGTGTACGTTTCAGCAATTTTGTCAAGAGATCCTTTGCGTCTGACGACAGATAGTATGGAAGATTTAGTTTTTTGTTCAAAATGGCATCCATGGTCTTTTTGCGATTGCTGGCGACAAAAGGTGGGGAACCTGTCAACATGTCATGGACTACAATACCCAATGACCACCAATCGACCGTACGATCATAATGAGTCTTGCCTGAGACTACTTCGGGTGCCATGTACTCGATAGTGCCGCAAACAGTGTTGGTTCGTCCATCCGAATTCTCCAAGGGGACTTTGGAGAGACCGAAATCCGTAAGGATAATATCTCCATGGGCGTTGAGCATGATGTTCTCAGGCTTGAGATCACGGTAGATGATGCCAAGGGAGTGCAAATGCTCCAAGGCAAGAACCAGCTGCGCGGCGTAGAATGCGGTATTTTCCTCAGAGAACATTCGCTCTATGTCATGGTGAGACAAATGTGTTTATTGAACATGAAGACAAAAAAACATTATATTAGGTTAGCCAAAACAGGTACACAAAAATAGGATTCAAGGAGGAAGTAGAGGCGTTGCAATTCAACAAAAAAGACAGAGAGAAGTATGACAGAATCAGAACAAGAGGACGGACAGGGACATGTTTGTGCCTGAAAATAACAAACATTATTAAACAATTTGCTGAATCAATTCAATAGAATAGGATCAGCCAAACATGTCTTATATCGCAGCTGCATGGTCAAAAATTAGTGTAAATGTAGACAAAACAAAAGGATCCGCGAATAAGTACACAGAACAAGGTTTGAGATGGGAACGAGGTTACAGAGAAGGAAAAAAAAAATGGGAGCCCGCAGGGTAGAGGAAGAGTGAGAAAAGCCTATGCACATGCTCTCATAATCCCAGGATCCATCTGGAGGGGGAGTGTGCGTCCGTATGCACGGAGGGAGAAATGATGAATAAATATATGGGAACTTTTAAAATTATGCTGACCTGTGGCCAAATGAGTGAAAAGCTCTCCTCCACTGGCATATTCCAAGATCAAATAGAGACGATGATCAGTCTGGAAAGCGTAGTGTAACTTGACAATGAATGGATGACGGATAGCTTCTAGGATCTTGCGCTCTGACATTGTACATTCCGTATCCTTAGCATGCACAATAATCGAGGCCTTCTTGAGCACCTTCATTGCATAAAGGGCATTGGTAGCAATATGTCTGACAAGGTAGACTTTGCCGTACCTTAAAACCACAAGCACAGTAAGGTTGATAAAACAAAACAAACAAACAATTACAACAAACCAATCAGTATGAAAATACTTGAAAACATGCACCATGGTTGTACAGCAGAGCATGTGTCGTTCGATCATTGAATCATTGGAGATCAGCGAGGGTAAAACCAAGGACCGATAGATCCATGTTTCATGGTGCATTATCCAAATAATGATGTGTATATATAGTCAGAGTTATGGACCTCCACTTACGCTCCACGACCAATAACTTTGAGAAACTTGAAGTCATCTGGAACCATTTTGTGCTTTGGACGACGAGGACCAACTGAAGGCGACACGTTCGCAGTGACAGCGGCAGACTTGACTCCATTCATGTCAGTTGTAAGCGTGTCACAGGATATTCCGTGCTGGCCCGGGCGGGGAGACACACCACGGCTGTCGACAGTTAGAGGAGTGTGGGCATCAAAGTCCTGATCAATTTTGACTTCGTACTCCACACCCTCTGATTCATTGTCGCTATTTTGTGATGAGCTGTTGTTGCTGGAAGACTGGGTCTTAATCTTGGCAGCAGTAGCAGTAGCAGCAGTAATGGTGCTGTTATCCCGCTGCTGAGACCGGAAAGTTGATTCTGGAGTCATAGCCTGCTCTCGATCCACCTGATGGAAAAAAGCAGGCAGGTGTTTGGACGAATTGTTATTGGCCTCATAAAGTCCGAGGTTAGAATTGCTGGCGTTACAGATTCTCTCGGCATTCATCTTGGTGGTGGAGGTGGTAGGAGTCGACGATCTGAGAGCAACGGCAAATGCGGGGGAGGGGGCAATGGGACGAGGGGATAAGATAGGATGGGATATGCCGTTGCCTTCGCTGTTGTTGACATGGCTGCGACTGAGAGCTGCATTGTTTCCAGTTGAATTTACAGAAAGGTTTGAAAACGCTTCCTGTGGCGAGTCAATTCCCTGAGCAGAATCGACTGAGAAAGTGCGTTCCCTTAATTGGGGATGGTCATCATGGTCAAATGAGAAGAGGTCCATCAGACTGATTGACTGACCGACTGGTTAGATTGGATTGGATTGAATTGAATTGAAGCCAAACGAGAGAAAGCGAATGTGTATAAAGAAGAAATGATATGAATTGAAAAAATAATAACCAAAATGAAAAGAAAGAGCAGAGCTATTTCTTTTTTTTCTTTTTTCCTTTTTTTTTACCTGTGCAAGCACAGGAATGAGAGTGGAATCTGAAAGAGTGGAGTGAGCAAAGGGATAATAATGGAAGAGTTGCGGTTGTTGAGGTATATCATTGGGAAGACCAGCAAGAAGAGCAAGAAGCGAAGGAGAGGAAAAAAAAAAAAAAAAAAAAAAAAAAAAACAAAAAACAAAGCAAAAGAAAGTTAAAATCAGTGAATCAGTTGATCGGTACTTAATTGCAGTGACATGTTGTGAATATTTTTATTCCCATCCCCAATTGTGTGTAGGGTGTGTGGCAAAATGGGCAAAGTAAACAAGCCACTCAGCCCCTCTCCCTCCACACTTTCGAGCCTGTTTACCTCTTATTGACGTGTTTGCATTCAAAGCATTAGCCTCCATGGAGAAGATCATTCAAGAAAAATGGACACAGGCACTCAAGGACCTCACAGAGAACGATTCACGCAGGGAAGCTCTTGCAATGGTATAAAAAAAAGGATAAAAGGAACTGGACAACAGCAAATGCATATATGGCAAAAGCGGACAGATAGTCACACTATCTTTTTTTTTTTTTTTTATTAATGAATGGCATAATGGCAATTATATTTGTAGGCCACACAAGTCGTTTTGACATCAATGAACCCAGACGTAGCTGATATTGGTTGGTATCATGAAAGAAATTCAATTTGAAGCGTTCCTGGGCCATGTGTCGACTTGATAGGCTCTGTTATTTATGGTCCTTACATCCTTTTTTTTTTAAAAAAAAGGTCGTGTTAAGGGGAGTTTAAATGTCCTGATTCGAAGAGGACTTGGTCGATGGACAGGGGACTGGCTTCTCGGTAATTCAAATAGTTGACTGAATGTTTTGCTCAAGAACATTGAAAATGAGAGTTTAAGACTCACCTCCTTAAAATGAAACCTACCCTACAAAAAAAAAAAAAAAAAAAAAGAGTCTTTCCGTCGAGATACTCTTGAAAAGGTTGTTCCTTGCCTTGAGGAGCTTGAATCAAGGTACCAAGTATGAACTCTTATTTCTCAATAATTCACTTTATAAATAATAAAAGAGGAAGAGAGAAGACGAAGAAGAAAAGGTGGCGATGTATCCTGATCTGATCAAGGTCTATTTTCGCTATTCAGGAATATATTTCCCAGGGATCCGCATACATGGAATCAACAGGCTGGGTAATCACTGCATTTCAGGATGTGATACAGCGGACCCATACACGCTTCACAACAGCTCGCAACATGGCTATTCTCTTCGATGAACGGATACGTGATGCTCACAAGGATCCAACCGAAGTGTCGGCGCTTGAAATATCCTCTAGACTCCTCTCAGAGTTTCTTTCCGTATTGGCAATCCAGCTCCCTCCTTCGTTTGACCAGGTGGCATATTTGTATTTCGAAACAATCTTTCGACAATACGAACAACAGGAGGAATCTCAAATGGCGATGATCCCTAGATACCCATTTGTACATGAAAAAGAGAACTACAGTGATGCAGAAAAATTCAATACGCAGTCCATTGATGAGGAGATGGATTCCGATACGAAACAAATCTATACTATAGGAGAGGACCGCACAACTGCTCTAAACAACAATTCTCAAAAAAAACAGCTCATTGGCAAAAAGCGAAGGAAAATAATGCAGGATGGACGCTTCGCAATTGACTTGTTTACAGATGAAATAGATGACGACTTTGTAGAACAAATCTTTTACGAAGAAGGCCAGACTAAAAATGGAGCGGATTCTTGCCATGATGCGCGCTTTGATAATAATGAGATTGAGAAAGAGGGCTTTATGAAAGTGTACCTGGACCTTTGTCAGCAATTGGAGGATATCGGATTTGCAGGACACATGACGGATGTGGTGACCAGGATGCTCTATGAAAAAGTCGAAGGAAAGATTTTTGGGTCGTTTAAGAAGAAATGGGATGTGCCCACACTAGAGAGCGGAAAGAATTGGATGAGTTCTGTGGTTCTTCCATTCCTGCGACGAACTCTCTTACGTAAGAACCCAAGTAAATCTTACTTAAATAGACCTAGTTCAGGTAAAAAAAAAAAAAAAAATCCGATCATTCCGTATCTTTGAACAGGAAGACTTGGCAATTGGTCTATGCCTTTCATATTTTAAAAATGTATACATACATACACGAGATAGCTGAGGCGGCTGCAAGCAAACGATACAAGGTGTGGGCTAGTACGTTGGAATTCTATTTTTTCAAGACGTTTGGAGATCTACGGTAGGGGAGGCGAAGTATTTTTATTACTATTGAATCTTCCCATAGACATAACTTCGACCATAGCCTCTAATTATTGTGCGAGCCATTAACTTGGATGTCTCTAGTACAAAAGAGATTTTTGATATCATTGTAGAACATCCGGTAACATCGCCAGCTATTTTGGATCTCAAAACATGTATTAATTGGACTGGCCAACGCGAGCAGCTTCAAAACGCTATTCTGGTTGCGTAAGTGATGTTGCATACATGTGTTTATGTGTACACGCCAGTGTATTATTTTATTGAAAATCCTGATCAAACTTTTTTTTTTTTTTTTTTTTTAATAACAGAATTGATAAACGCTTACTACATCCAGGAGCAAAAACAACAGATATTATCGAGTTTTACATCTGTGCAATTAGATACCTGCGTATGATTGACCCATCAGGTATTATGCTAGGCCATACGTCTAGAAAGATCAATCAGTACTTAAGGTGAGTCTATAAAGCGGCTCATAAGAGGATTATCAACCATTTAAGAAGCTGTCTAAATAACTTGAGATTTGTAACGTATTGCTTCACTCACTCGAAAATGATGTTTTTATTATTAGGACAAGAGATGATACCATGCGGGCCATTGTATCTTGCATTGTCGATGACTCTCTTGGTTTGCTGACAACCAATGCACCTGACGGCCTTTCAGCCAACAACGTGGAGGCTGATGATGAGGATTCCGATGATGATACATGGGTGCCAGAGCCGGTCAATGCTGGCCCAGGTAATACTATATATATATATATATATATGGATAATTACTTTTCTTTACATTCTTTATCTTCTAAAGAAAAAGGTGTCAAATCTTTAAATTGTCTGTTTGGTTCAATAATTTTTTTAGATTTGAGCTCCGCACGACGAAGGATGGCAGATATTATCAGTGTCCTGGCCAATATTTATGATAACAACGATCGATTTATCAAAGAGTTTCAGGTATATCTTGCTGATAGATTACTGCAGGCAGTAGACTTTAATGTTGATCGCGAGGTAAAGGTTTTTTTTTTGTTTTTTTTTGTTTTCAAGTTGATAATACAAGGCTCTTTATCAAATACCATTAACAAAAAGCATAATCAATCCCATTTTTATCACAGCTACGCCAATTAGAATTGCTGAAACTACGTTTCGGGGAGCAAGATGTACAGCATTGCGAAGTCATGTTAGCAGATATTGCGGAGTCAAAACGCGTAAATGTCAACATCCAATCGCGTAGCCAAGGTGTAAGTTCTTATTTTGCAAAAAAAAAAAAAAAAAAAAAAAGCATAAAGTTCAAGCATTTTCATTGGCTTCCTGCTCTAATAGATTCCTGTAAGCGCGACTATTGCTTCAAGATATTACTGGCCGGAAATCGAGGACGAGGCAATTAAAATGCCAGATCCTTTCAGAGAGTATGAGCCCTAAAATTACTGCCCAAGAGATACCACTAATGGATATGGATGTGAAAATGGAATTTGGATTAAATGAACTTGTGACTAATCCGTTAGCGTTCTTCTGTATGCTCAGATTGCTCGAGTCATATAAGGCGGCCTTTGCGATAACAAAGCCTGCACAGAAGCTGAGCTTATTCCCGTCACTAGGTCTTGTCGAACTTGAATTGGAGTTGCAGGATCGAACCCTCGAATTTAAGGTTTCGCCCATTCATGCTGCTATCATCCACGCCTTCGAAGAGCAAGGTGACTATTATGTATTCGCATATTGACTTGATGACCAAGAGAGCCCCAAGAAACGTATTAACACCAATCAATTTTCTACTGTTATAAAAAAAAAAAAGATACATGGACTCTTGATAGTATTGCCAACAGACTACAGTCGGACGAGGACGTTCTCGAATCCAAAATACAATTTTGGATTCGTGAAGGTGTGTTACAAGAAACTGGACGATTGCAATATGAACTTGTCGAAAATTTGCCTTCTACATCCCTTACAAACTCTTTTACACAATAGTTAATTAAAGAGATCTACCCGATATGAAAATACATAAAAATAAAAACCAAAAAATAATCATTCTGTTTATTGTCTATGAAGTAGATTAGAATTGCAGTTTGTTGGTTCATCAAGTCCTCTTTTTCCTTTGACTTTCTCCCACAACCGGGACTAACGCTCGCCCCACCAAAAGATCACTTAGCGCAAACAATAGGATAGTAAAGAGGACCATCAAAGAAGAAATGCAGAAATGACTGATACTAGTCCCAATCTCCAGCCAGGATCCGTCATCGCGGACTAAATAAAAGAAATTTAGCGTCATCACATCTGTTGTTGCCAAACCCAACAGAAACAGGGAGAATGGAGGTAAATCCAATGAGCGGACCAAGACACGGAAAATGGATGAGACCAAGAAGAACGGGATCAAGATCTTGATGATTAATAGTGCACCCATAAAGAATGGATTGAAAACAGTTGTCAACCGGAAGACAGACTGAAGAGAGAAAGAAGCCAAGGAGGCGACATTTCCTGTTCCAAAAAAGGCCACATTAATAAAGAAGAGGAAAAAAACAGCTGGACGCGCATCCCTTGGGCCAAGGCTACGTGTGGGATAATTAATAGTCAGCGCTTGTGCAGGCTTAGACCCATATGACGTTGATGCAGAGGATGAGGGTGCCTCCGACAAAATGCGATTCTCAGAATAAAGTGTATCCGGAAGTGGCTGCATCTCAATAACTGAATAGATCTTCCTTTCAAGGATCAGCCAGGACAACAATGTTGTTGATAAGAAGAAGTAAAAGATCGATTCGTATCTATCATCATTACAAGTCAACATTAAGTCAACATTAAGTCAACGTCTTATGCCATGGTAGTCACTTGATTTGTCGCCACATGTCAATGACACTTACGAAATACTTAGAAGGATGAAGATGGGGGCAAACGAGAGATAGATGATAACCATGCGTAGTAGATAGTGCTGGTTGGAACGGGCCCCATAGATGAAAGGGATGCTACCAGTGACGACTGTTCCATTGCAATGAAGATAGAAGATATAAATTAACAGCTCTTAGTTGAGAAACAGCTTGACCCTTACAATACGGGTGAAACAATAATTACCTAAGATAATCCAACTAAGTGTCTGGTTCACAAAAGGCAATCCTTCACGCGCTGCAAGACTCTTGACTGTGCTATTGACAATTAGCGTTGAGAGAGCAATGAGTCCGGTCTAAAATTGATATTGTATAAAGCTGTCCGGTTAAAAAAAAAAAAAAAAAAAAAAAAAAAACTTGAAAGTTAGTAGGCTACAAGTTGATTAACATTACCTGGAACATCATCACGGACTTTGCCGTCTTCGCATCTTTTTGTTGTTGCATTTCAAGTCCCTCAGTTGCACTGGGGACAAACAAAACGGCAAAGACTCCACTCAGTGTCAAGATCAGACCACCAGCTAGACTAACGGGCAAAGATATTGATCCCGTCAAAAAAAAAAAAAAGTTTATTAATCTTTATCCAATTAAAATATGAACATGACGAGAAAATATTATAGTATATATTTTAAAGTAAGCAAAAACTTACATGAGTGTTTGATCCTCGCCCATCTCGACGGGCAACAAAGTAAATATACTGGTTCCGAGACATGAGAGTGACCACGAAACCATGGACATGGTGTTATTACGCTGCACACTTGCAGGTAAAAATACTGGCCAAAGAGCCAAGAAAAGGAAGCAGATCGATAAAATTGCTCTGTTAAAGTAGCTATAGACCTAAAAAGTGATGATAAATCATAAAAGTAGCGTAAGTAGTGCAAAAAAAAAAAAAAAAAAAAAAAAAATAGGTTTTCAAGAGCTACCAACACAGAAAAATGCTGCCCTACCAGGATTTCGAGAGCAAGGATGTATCCCAAGACTGAAGCCAGAGTTTTAATCCAGCCATAATTTTGAAGAGCTTTAGAAATAGCCCATGTAAGTTCTCTACGTTCCAACAGCACACGGCTCCAGAAGAAAACAGGGAACGCAACGTACACGTAATAAAGTGCTGGAGATTGTTTGATAACGAGTATGACAACAAAGGCAATAAACACAGTTACAGCCAAGGCATTAATCTATGTTTCCACAAAGTAAATCAAATTGGAGTTGTTATCCAGTCCATTACAAAATCCTTCTTCAGGTCGAAAAAAAAAGAGAACGTCATACCAATCTAGTCTCCTCTACTGTGGCATTGTTGCTGTTTTGTCGTCCAGATTTGGCTGATCCTAGTGGTCCAAGACGAGACTCATTGTTGCTAACGAATGTCCTGAAAGTGAAATTCAAACTGAACGCGATCCATCCCAAGTATCCCGCAGACACAACAGAGCGCAAGAAAAGCCAATCGTAACTGTAGTGAAGAAAAAAAAATTAGCAATGAAAGACTCTTTTTTTTTTTTTTTTTTTTTTACAATGAATAAGTTTCCCAAGGACATACGTTTGCAAGTAGCGGAGGCCTTCAAGGCAAAGGTCTCGCACAAGAGTGCATTCAACCTCGGCTTCTTCGTATTTCCCCTGATCAATAAGGGCCTGAACCTGAGCTTTAACAACTTCAGGAGAATGTTCTCCTGTCAATCCAGGAAATGGCCTGAACCACAGCTCTGTGCGGCGCTTCTGCTCTTGTTTGACATGGTATTGCTCCAGAATTTGAAGTGTATTCGTAAACGTGGACTCTGCCCTGAATAATTCGGATCCATCTAAGTAAGGTAAAGGGAGCTCCCCTACAGAGTTGACTGGGTAATTAATTCCGATAAGAGCGGCCTATGCACAACAACACGCTTTTATATTTTTAGTAAAATTTCCAACATTCTAGATACTAGGCTTCTTTCTGGATGGGGTTATGATATTACCATGAGTGGAGCAATGTCGGCCTGCTTAACATCGTTTCGACTGTATTCATTCAGATGCCAATCTGCAGAGAACTCATCGTGTCCCTGAGGGTTAGCTTTGTTTGGTTTCCGTATTCCTGCACCCCAGGCAATAATAGGTGTCCTTGTGTTGTCGGGATGGCCATCGCCATGGACGCCTACAGAAGTCAGACAAATATATCATAACCATTGATGGTTATATATAAGAGTGATGTCCTAGTATCCCAAACAATAGTTTCTTGGTATTTAATGTTTACTGGTATCGATAAAGGGTTGATTTATAAACGTTACCGCGATTGCCCATTCCATGATCAGCTGTAAACACATAGGCAGTCTTGCCGTCATCATTATAAAACTCTTTGAGCTGCTCTGTGACCCTTTTGATGCCCTGATCCACAATCTTGATGTTATTGAGGTAGATTTCCGACATTGGGAGGTGGGAATGTCCGTTGGTATCAAGTCCCAAGAGATGCAGAAAGAAAACAATCTTGTCCGAATGAAGCTTTTTGTAGAGTTCCATATCTGATTTTGCTTTATCGAACAAGTTGGTGAATTTCTCAAAAACCCAAGTGTCCAAAACGCTAGCATCGCCTGATCGTAACAAATGAGTATGTTAGATAAAATATCCCTTATGTTTTTTTACACTTCAGTAAACTGACTTGCCTGCTCCATAGTCCTCATGCTCTGCGGGGTACATGATTGTATCAATCCTGTCAGGATCCGAAGCTCCATGTGCGAACATGGGAAGGATATCAGGCGACCCAAAAGACCATGTGTGCTCGCTCTGATTGAATACCGAGTCAAAATTGACCGGGTTCATTTGCCATCCTAGGATATTTTTTAAGATGGACACAATGAATGTCTTGTTTTTCGTAAACCGAGAAAAAGAAAAATCTGAACATGAATGACTTCTTTTACTGACCCTTGGTGACAGCACTAACATCCTCGTAGAACCCGGCAATAATAGCTACGTGACCAGGACGCGACTCTGTAGGAACGCGCGTATGAGACACACCCCAGGTGCCCTCATTTTGGATAATGTGGCGCAAAAATGGTGCCTTGGTTTCCAACTTCTCTGTACTGGGATCAGGATGAAACTGATAGAGCTTGTCAGCGCGCAGACCATCAGCTACAATTATTTGAATTAAAGGTCATTTTTAATATCAACATTCTGTACATCAAGCAGTTGAGCATTGGGTACAAATGTTTGAAGGGTAAAGGGCGAGTAACAGGTTCATTTACCAACGAAAAGTACAAGCCGTTTTGCAGGAGCAGGCTGATTGACATGATGTTGACCCATGCCATGGACAAGCGGAGAAGTAAAGTAGATGTCAAAGATGGACATGATGTATGTAACATGGAATAGCACACCCAAAATGAGTAGCCATGCACTTGTGAGTTTGGATGGCATGAGTGCCATGATGATGATTGGGTGTAAGTGCGGGTATGAGAATGTATAGAGATGCCTAGGACTTCACTCTTCACTTCTCTTCAAGTGTGGGGAAATTGGGAAAGAAAGATTAAGATCAGATTTTAACGTCCAGCACGGACAAAAAATCACACAGTCTGTGCTTTATTTTTTTATTTTTTGGTTTTCTAGCATCTTTTCAGCATTACTCCTCCATTTCCAATTTACATTTCATAATTACATCTTTTCCTAATCTTGGGCCCCTATTCCATCGCTCTTTCTGTTGGTAAAATACAACGCATGGCAGTTGCTCTGGCCTGCAGTAAAAAGCTCTGGCCAGCCTTTCTTATCCACGCTGTGCTGATGACTGTAGCCCTGCAGTCTGTTTGCCCTGTCCATGCCTTTTTCCATGTCGAACACTCCACAGATATAACAAGCGGCCAATCTCATCCAAAAGATATTGGACAGGACAGCCACCATCAAAATAGCAATAGCAGCATCAAGACACCTTTACACTCTCACACGCTCGAGCACTTACAGCCATACCTGTGTGTCTGTCTCCGACAAGACGATCCTACATTGCTATATCAAGAAAGACGATGTCCACACTGGCCATACCCTTATTGTCTGTATAGCTATGTTGATGGCAGACTTCTTTTGGACGAAAAGACTCAGAGCGCTCAGGATGAAGTAAGCTGCCTTTCCCCTTCTAAATCCGAGTCTCTTCATGGCACTATAAACACTGGTCAACAAAAAATCTAAAAAATCTAACGAATAAAAATAATTAGATCGTAGGACAAGAGGAAGATGAGGACAGCGATCACATTGCCATTAGAGACAAAAGCCAAACAAAAGGCGACGCAGAAGTAGCAACAGCTTCATCAACTGAAATATATGAAGATTATGTGGAGTATGAGCACCAGGCCATCCCTCCTAACCAGCCAGCATCGAGTCCAACTATTGCTGGATCAACATTCGTAGTCTATTCTCGCGAGTCAGGATCAAAAACACAGGCTAAGAACTTTACATCTACTGATAGCGAATTGAGTCGCGAGACAGTTTTTGAGGGCTCCATAATCAATTCAGACACATCCTCCGATCATATCGCTGTCCACCCATCACAACATGTTCAATCTTCAATTATAGAGGCACGACACTCGACAGGTATAGTCGACACTGCGTCCTCAATTGCTACAGCTAAACTAATGACCAGCAGCCCTCCCCAAATTGAGCGACATATACCTTCATATGAACAGTGGCGCAAGCAGGTCTTGGAAAAGAAAAGGCTTACAGACTATAACGATCGCAAACAACGCAAGCGTAAACCATATCAAGAGAGCTCCGTGGATGTTGCTATTGGCGCCGAGGATGAGCTTGGGTTCGTTTTTTCAAATTTAGATAACAATGGCAATGGCAAAGGAGGCGACAATCGGCTTCAACATATCACTGATCAGCTCGGAAATGGGCCTGATTTGAGGCAAAAGCCTAGTAGTGAAATAGAATGGATTAAAGCAGAGTATACAAAGGATCCAAAAGACCGATTCAACCATGCTTCCTCTACTTGCGCAGCCAGCGTTGTGAAAGCGAGCAAAGACGCCACTAGCATCACTGCAATCCTTAATGAGGGCAAAGACCACTACATGTTGAATAAATGCTCCACCAAGGAAAAATTTTTTGTCGTCGAGCTCTGTGAGGAGATTTTGGTCGACACATTCGTTCTGGGCAATTATGAGTTCTTTTCATCAACTTTCAAGGAGTTTGTCGTCTCTGTGAACAGATATCCGCCTAGAGATGATGGCTGGAGCATCCTTGGCCATTTTCAAGCCAGGAATACTAGAGACGCCCAAGTAAGTTAGAGACCTTATGGCGTGGGTTATCAATAGATATTTTGGTAAATTGATCCTCATGATCTTTTTACCTCTTTCAAATTAGGTATTTAGACCCTCCGTCCCTCAGCTGGCAACCTACATACGGTTTGACTTTATTAGCCACTATGGCAATGAGTACTATTGTCCGATTACTCTCTTGCGTGTATATGGAGCTACAGCCTTGGAACAGCTAAAGCAGGAAGAAGAAGAAGAAAAACGGCAGGCTGAAGAGGAAAAGCGGCTTGCTGAGCTTGAAAAAGCAAGGCAAGCTGCTGAAGCCGAGGAGGCAGAGGAGACAGAGGAGATAGAAGAGACGGAGGAGACGCAGAGCACGACAATTAATGATGCGGCAGAACTTATTAGCACTAATGATACTCAATCGAATAAGCTGTCACAAACAGGCACCAGTGAGACAATGGATAAGGAGCATGATAGTCAACGCAAACCACTGGAAACGCCTGGCGCCTCCTTGGAGTCAGCACTACCATTAGGTAATTCCAGTACCGTGTTCGAAGGCGAAGAGGATCATATGAATTCGATTCACACAGATCCGCCTTTGCAAGTATCGACTGCGGCCTCATCAGATAATCAGGCAGTCACACTACCATTCACAAGTAGTTCTGATGCAGGTTCGCCATCGCTCAGCTTATTGAATGAACCGAACACGGATACTCGTGACATTGGTGATAAAAATGGTGCAACCACTGGTCAATTTACATTATCTGATACAACCCTGATATCGTTCGAGCCTTTCACGGCATCTGAGAGCCCTATTTATACAGATGTTTTGCCTCCTCGCCCCTCAACTTCACCAGCTTCAATACAGTATGATGAAGAGTGGGCGAATGTTGGGCTTGCAAAGATCACGCTGTCACCGAAATCTAGATCGACTCATTCCCCAAAACCACCAAGTGTATCTAAACCAGCTTCAGCAGGAGTCGGTACAACTTCTAGTAGTACTTCGTCAACAACAGATTCATCCCCGCATGCAGCACCATCACCTCATCATTCCTCCCAGGAGAGTGTATACAAAAACATTGTCAACCGTCTAAAAGTACTTGAACTTAATTCATCGTTGTCGTACCAATACTTGGAGGAGCAGAGCAACGTCTTCAATGAGATTCTAGAGTCTAATGAGCAAAAGATAAACCAGCTTGTAATTCATCTTAATGAGGCGACGCGTCGTTTAGAGACACTGGTAAGAATCTGGCTTTTTAATCTTTAAATACGACCTGAAGAGTTTTTCTGACCGATACTTCAATTCGTTTTACTGAAACCATTAGGGTCGCAAATACGATCAGCTGGCATACAGCTACAGGATGAATGTGGAAGTAGAGGGAGAAAAGCGTCGCCAGGATTTTATTAATCTTTCTTCACAAGTCCATTTGCTTGGATCACAGGTATCTAGGGCTTTTTTTTTATTTTGTTTTATTATTTAAAAAAAGCCTTGAATTCAAATTGTTGACCAATTAACCCAACTCGATTTAGGTCATGTTCCAACGACAGCTCTTCGTGGTTGGCGCTATTATCACCATCTTTATTATTGTATTCATCTCTATTACCAAAAGCACGGCGATGCATTATGCCATACAACAGTCCCCCCTTGGGGCAAAACTCAGAGCTATTTCAGGACAGAGACGAGAAGTTAGATCCGACGGCACAGCATCTTCTATTAGGATTGGCTCTGTAGAAAGCTTAAGTCGATTCGATCAAAGTACTCTTCTTCATCGGCACCATAGCGATAGAAGAAATGATCTTGCGAGCGATAGTATCAAGGATTCACCGCCAATCTCGCCGACGGCTCCGGTAACGTCTGATCCTAACCACACAACTCAGTCTACACTTTTGAATGGCTCTGGTCACTCTTTGGCAGGGTCTCCTCACCCAGGCCCAGAAATATCATTGCAGAACGAAGAAGCGATAAATAATAGTCATGGCCCAGCAGAAGAAGAAAGAATACCGAGCTCACGTTCTGAATTCCATCCAACGCAGACACATGAACCCGAATCTCCAGATTTTGCGCATATGTCTAGCCCTCAGTTTAAACAGGAACCCGCGATTTCCCGTACCCCATATCCAACTCCAAAGAACAGCTATGGACCTGGCCGCCTCGTCATGCGTCCTAGTCACAGTAATTCATCTCAGACCGACTACAGGCCAGACTCCCCTGTTTTCCAAGGACTTTCAGGTATCCATGATGAAGGACAATTATCGGATGCGGATGTGGCATACATGTCTCGAGATATGGATGTTGGTCGTATGAGTCCTCCGAACCTAATTTCGATGCCTAATAGCCCTGTTATGAGGAGGCTATCAGCCACTTATTATAGCCATGGTCACCATCAGTATAACTCAGGATCAATCCGACCGATGTCTTCATTGAGGATGGACACTACACCATCTTTGACGGCTTTAACAAAACTAGAATCGCTTGAAGGCTCAGATATGCCTCAACATTTTCCAATAGACACTATTTCAAACAGCACCCACAAACCCGAGTCATTCAATGGAGATGATAATAACCACTCTTCACAAACGATGAACGACCCGAACGATGAATCTTCGATCAAGGCTCCAGAAATGGTTTGCAAAACATTTAAAGAGGAAGAGGAGGATATTGGCTTCGTTTCAGATTCAGTCTTGGACACGACATCAAAGAGCGTACCAGATAATGCTTCTGCAGGCGTACTTGGGGACTGGGAGAGGCAGCATGGTATTGGAGAGCATTCAAGTCATAATGACAAGAGAGGGACAGAAGAAACATATCTTGACCAGGAGGAGACAGTGGCGGTAATAGGCAGGAAGGGTAAATCTTTAGGTCAAATGACTGAAGCCACTGTTGGAATGGATGCATCTGTTAAGGAACAACGGCCACAGCTTATTCGAGATATGTCATCACGTTCGAAACGAAAAAGTTCTCACAATGCTTCGTATCTAGTGGAAGACGCTATCGCTCATAATGGGCAAAGTATGAGCTTAGATTTGAATATAGGCGCAGAGGAGCATGTATCAGCCTTACTAGACACTAGAATGCGTCCAGAGACAACAGTATATCTTTCACCACTGGAAAGACAGGAGGCGGGGGGAGACCTCGCTCAGAATGGGGATGAGGATGAAGGCACTCAAGCTGATGACGATTCCGCAATGTCAAGGAGTCGTGGCCTTTCGGATAAACGAAAAAAAAATAGAAAGTCGTCACTGTCTGAAGGTCAAATGGTTCCTAGGAGGCGATCAAGTCATGGGCGACACGAAAATGTAGAAACAGTGACCCTGGAAGATGACGGACTCGATGGTGATGATGAACGTTCGCCACAGGTGTCACGCAAATCATGATCCACAAGAGCCGAATCATGACTTATGATTTATTAATAGTCAATTGTACTTTAGAGCTATAAATTTCTCGCTATTTTACATAATACATCTCCCATATCCAGAACTGATTCATTTGTACCGAATGCAATAGCAGATCTCTATCTCGATTTCTTTCCTTCATGGAGAGATGGGGCGTCACTATGTGTTTGGAGTGCCATGACTTTTTTAGCTTGCTCGGTACTAGCCACAACAACACATACGTTGATAAATAGGGTTGTTTCAAACAAGTATTTAGGATAGATCACAAATAATATAACTTGTCCAAGTCGAGAAAGATACGACCATTACAAGAAAATTGGACCAGCAAAAACCACAATTACTTGGTTAGAGGGCAAATGAACGATATTCCTCAAGCTGATTTACTCAGCGTCTGCTATAGTTCCCAACAGAAGAAGCTTGTTTTCTACGCGGAGGCTGTGCATGAATACCCTCACTAACGAGCAGAGTGGTCTGAACAAGATATAGATCATCTTATAATCTTACAACAGAACGATCCCTCTCACAATAGTTTCCTCCTGAATCATCTCTTGCCACCTTTTCTGGACCCTCTCGTTCGAACGTTAGATCACCTTTATTGTTCATAACCATTGGAAGCTTCGGAGTAAAAATAATATAAATATGTTTAAGTTATTGATACTAGCGCTTATGATTGTCCAGACAGGTGGCTTTATGGATGTCGTCAGCGCAACCCACTGTGGGGATTTGCGTCCGGGGTAGAGAAGTGCTGGTCATGTGAGGCTGTCCTAGGTTGGGTGCATATACGCGTAGCCGTACCAGTCCTAGAAGGGATTATTGGTCTGGTTGTTGGGATACCAGCCCAAGCAAATGTTCAGAGTTCTATACGAGCATGCGAGAGCTTTGTCTTAGAGAACGTTCGGCAAGAGTCGTCAATAATGTAGTAAGCAAGCCGATTGCTTTTTTTTTTCCTTTTTCTTTTTTTCTTTTTTCTACCATTCCTGTCATTCCTTCCCTCTTTTTCCTTTCTCCCCTCTTTTCTCTTTCTCTCCTCTTTTCCACACAAGCGTGCTATTTACCAACCCTTTATATGAATAATGGGACATGTTATTATGAATTTCAAGGGGATACCAAAATACATTCACTTCGTGGACATTGGAGGGATAATAAACTTTTTAGACATTTAAACCTATCCTAGTGAGGCAAAAACGCGTGTTTTTGAGAATGCTACCCATAACATTCCAATTAATAATGATCCCCTTCTTATTTTTCCTTCCCTTTCGCTGCCTTTGTTTTTTTTTTTTTGTCCAATTCTCATTAATCCCTTATCCACAGTCAGGTTGTCGTCTCTTCACGGGGCTAGAAAGGTTTTTTTTTTTTTTTTTTTTTTTTTAACACTCGCGTTTGACAGAAAAAAGATTTCAAACCATTATAAAATCAGAGACTTCGGAGGAAATTGGTGAATAGAAACGTGTCTATGAAAGTTCTGAACCGCCATGGCCTATGCACCAAGCCGCTACCTTAGAATCATCCGTACCATTGTCCTCTTTACCGTATTGTTAGGGCTCAGCCATCTACTCTTGATAGCTTTTGCGTCTGATCGATATGAGTCCAATGTGATCAAGTCGAAGACCATTGTGGCTGAGGGAGAGGAAGTTAAAGAGCATATATCGGAGCTAGGAGCGGAACAGCGGTACTCTTCGCTGGCACTCAGCAGTGCTCACAATATCCAGGAGATAGAGGCTGGAAGCACCATAGGGCGCCAACAGTTTCAAGATCAGCTTGCTGCAATACAATATGGCAGTCGTTATAGAGACCATACACTGACGCCGGCTAACAATGAAGATACTAATAGCATTGAAGAAGGCAACGATAAAAAGAACCTCTCGGCCGATAACCGGCAAGGCGAGTTCCTCGCTAGAGAAGGGGCACCTGAAGAAGAAAGTGTTGTCTATAGAATCAAAAAGGCTAATGGAGTCTTAGTGATGTTGGCGCATGAAGTGGAGCTACAGCGTGTTCGTGAAACGGTCCGCCACGCTGAGGATCGGTTCAATCGTGGTCGTAATTATCCTTGGGTCATTCTTTCTTCTATTCCCTTCACAGTTCGCTCACGGAATTTGGTAAAGCAACTATCAAAAGGTTCAATAACTTTCGGACTCATTCCTCATGATCAATGGCGGCTTCCCAAATGGATTGAAGCGGCCAAGGTCAGGAATGCAGACTATACAAGGAAAAAACTAGGCATGAATAAGACATCACTACTTACAAGGCACAAATGGCGATATACAAGTGGATATTTAGCGCAACATGAGCTATTGGACCCATATGACATTTTTTGGCGAATCGACCCAGGTGTGGAAATATTTTGTGATATTGAGGAGGATCCTATGTTGGCTATGGAGGCTTCAGGGAAGAAACTGGGTATGGCGCCAACCAAACCTTTATAGGAGCATAAAAAAGGAGCGTCCATATGGCAAAGAAATAAGCCTAACCTATTCACCCTCTCATACTTGCTTCGGCTTCATTAGCATGGTCGTTGTCTTCCTCAATCAACGAAATCGGTGTTCCAGGAGCATGGACAATCATTCAAAAATTTAAGGAAACACATCCAGAACTTATATCTGACTCTAATGACGAGAGCTTTTTGATGAGGGAATCCAAAGATGCTTTGTAAGCCATAAGACAAGCATGAATTTTAAATTATCTCCGTCATTTACCAAAAAGCATATATACTTACTTCGTTCACAAAAAAAAAAAAAAAAAAAAAAAAAAAAAAATACATAGTGCGGCGTGTACATACAGCGTCGAGAACTCAATAGGACGTGTCGATTTCTTTCGCTCGCCTGAGTACAAGGCGTACTTTGACTTTATTGATCAAGAAGGACCTATCTATTATGAGAAATGGAATGATGCGGCCGTGGTGACGATTGGGTTATCGCTTCTTAACCGCCGGACAGATATCACGTTCATGAAGAACCTTGGATGGCGTCTAGATTCAAGCACTGCTCCGATTGCGTACTGTCCTCAAGATTGTCCCTGTGACCCACAATTGAACAATCTACCTCTTCATCTTAGCTGTACCCCGTTTTGGCTAGGCCAAACCAAAAGCCCCCAGATGAAGCGTCGGTTAGAGTGCAATAAGGAAGCAAAATGTGTATTGTATGTATCGAAGACAAGTCAAAATCTTATTTCATAGAAATGATACTTTTTTATTATAATTTACGACCCCTCATCTGGCGCCATTGATATTTACAAAGAAAAGTGGGTTGTGTGTATAACATGATAATTAAAAACAAGACTATACAAATTACAAGGATGGGTAATAAAGACACAAGTGAAAACTGTAGGGCAAGAAAAGCACAGACTTGGTATAACTCTCTTTCCGTCATTTTTTTTTTTTTTTTTTTTTTTTCCTCTTAACAAGAGCATTTAGTGCTTGACACTAAGCATACTCTCATGGATGGACTGTGCTTCAACCTGCATTTCCTCGATCTCCTTATTGGAAGGAACAGGTCCATGGCGATCAATGATTGGCTCTGCAGCCATGGGTGGGTTTGAAGGTAGGAGTGCGTTCAAGATGCAGCTGACAATCGCACCCAGTGCAAAGCCGGTGTCCAGAACAATGTTGGCAGAGTTGATCAATGAAGTGACAAAAGGATTCGTACCAGTGTAGCTGAACATATGTGTCAACACACCCGGGACCACAGACGTTCCCATACCCAGAGTCAATGCTGTCGCAACAATGAAGCGCTCACGGCGAGTCCATGGCAGGAAGGACAAGATACGGATACCAGAGACAACGACACTAGAAAACAGGAAGGTGGTCATACCTCCAAGCACGGCATCGGGTACCATGAGAAAGAGAGCTCCAAATTTGGAGAAGACACCCATGAGGACCAGGAAGAAGCAGCACATATATCCAGCAAGAGTGTTCGCACAGCGTGTGAGGGAGATGATGCCGTTGTTTTGTGCATAGCAACTCATAGGCGAATTCATGAAAAGGGGCGCAAGGCAGCCGGCAAGACCGTCTGCTAGGATTCCACCCTGCAATCGCGATTCGAACTCGCGACCTTCAACGGATAGGTGCGAGACTTCACAAGAAGCAGTGATGTCTCCAATACTTTCAACCATGGCCAATGTGTATGTGATTAATAACGGTATAATTGCGGGTGGATAAATCGAGAGTGGGTAGGTCTTAGTCCAGAGAAAAGTAACTGTAGGCGATGCATCAATCGATGATGAGTCAGTGTATCCCATGGTTACTGCCACAATCATTCCGACAATGAGACCAAGCACAACCTGTGCATTCTTCATAAAAGGAGAACCAAAGAATTCAACGACCATGATGACAAAGAAGACCAAGAAGCCTAAACCAATCCACTGAGCGTCTCCCCAAGGGGCTGCACGGGGGGCATTGTTGTTAGGGCAATTCACAAAGGGACCAGTGGTTGGTCTGGATTTACATGGACCATTTCCGCCACCCCATTGAGACATTCCAGATGTGACAAGATGGACTCCAATCAGCATGACAGTGACACCGGTAACAATAGGTGGGAAGACCTTCTTGAGCACACGAGGAGGGAGGAACGACAGACAGATGGGCAAAAGACTGCAGATCATACATGTGCCAAGAAATGCACCCCAAGCTTGAGGGCATGATGAATAGATACGAGTACCCGATGCATCCACAAAGCTCTCACAGAACCCCGAAGCATACATGTTGAAGACAGAGCTCTGGAGGACAGGCAAGAAGATGAAACTGGTGCCCACCACTGACAGTAAGCCCGTTCCAAGAAAATATCGCGATTTTCCGAGCCTGAAACGTGTGATTTGTACCAATGAGAGCAAACCAGATGTGATCAAAGATGTGGACACCATTTGTGTACGCATGGCTGGTGGAAAATTGAGGCCATGACTGCCTGTTCCAGACATGATGATAGCAGGAGTAACAACTCCTGCAATCATAGCCAATGCATGTTGGAAACCTTATATTTTATGGAGGAAAAGGAGGGAGAGAGAATGAATTAAAGAATTAATATTAATGAGGTTCAGGGCAGAAATTGTGATCGCAGTAAGAGAAAGAATTATATTCTTTTTACCCATGATGATAGCTAGAACCAGGGGAAGTCTGTCTTTCAAACCAAAGAATGGCGGGATCCTTGGAACAGTAAAACCAGGGAGTGTTGGTGTGCAGAGAAAACCATAGTCATAATCACCAAGCCAGCCAGAGCGAGTTCCTATAGATTGCTGAATGGTTTGCCAGGTCGGGACCTTTCCTACTGTGTGAGAGAGATCGATGTCCTCTTCCCTTGTGCGGTTGGCATGGGGATCGAGAATGAAAACCGGAGGCGATGTAGCCTCGGGTTCCTGCGTAATTTCGGGCATGGGTGAATTAGATGTAGTGTAATCTTATTAATGACAATGAGAACCTTCTGGCTTGTTGGGAAGAGATCAGAATCCAAATGAGTAAAGAAGAAAGAGGAGGAGAGCTTGAGCGCTAGTCTAAAAAGCAAGAAGAAAAAAAGAAAAGAGAAAAAGACAGATGGTGATATTTATGTGTCTTCATGTGAGACAAGGATGAACAAGGATGAGTAGTGGGATTGCCTCTGGGCGTTACCATTCAGCACATGGTTCCATTCATGTTAGTTATTAAGATACACACACACTAAAGAATCAAGCGTAAACACCTGTCTCTTTTGGATCGTGTCCTTGTCCATGCATGCTCACCTGCTCAAACCCAATCCTAAAAAACTTAAATGTGGGGTCTATCAAAGATGAAAAGTCCATTAATGGTATTTTCTCAAATGCGGGGTCAAGGTTTACTACATTCTCCGACACATCCTGACCTGCGCTCTCACTATCCACTTTTTTTTGTTTGTTTTTTGTCATACAAACCTCAACGTCTTCCATGATACGTACACTTTTTTTTTTTTTTTACTAAAGCATCCAAATCAACAAAGCCATAGAATAATTTCTCGAACAGGAACCACTAGCAGAGGAGAGATTGTAAGGTTGACGCAAATGATTACTTTGGCTCTGCACTAAAGGAAATAGGCGCTAGAAGGATGATGATTGAGAATCGAGTTGTCTTACTGTTATATTCCCTTTGCCGAATTTGATTCGGAAGTACATGTAGAGCTTATTGGGCATTAAGGATAATGAATGGTAAAGATAAGAAGAGTACTAGGATGCTCTAGACTCATACCTCTTCATTCAACTGCTTACTGATGACAAGGCGTATGGCTCTATCTTTATGATAAGATGATAGGGCAAGGTTGGGCAGGCGTTTAAAGGCACATCACCATGTTTGGTGAACAAGTCCAACAAAAATAAAGTTGCCCGCATTTTTTTCTTTTTTCACTTGCTTCTTTTGGCGCAGCGTTTCCATTTCAAGTGACACAGAATGAAAGAGATTAAGAACCAACAAAGATGCATGTGAGACGCCTTTTCTGATTCGCTCATTTCATGCGGGGTTCCCCCTTTCAGCTTTTTTGTGATTGAGCAACCATCTCAGCAAGCCCTGGCTTTCTCCCCACATTTTTGGTCCAACCACAACTGAGATAATTCTCCAAGTCAAAGGCAGCGCGTCATGTCGGAGTCTGTTTTGCATGTCGAGGTTAGATGTGCGCATCATATATATATATACATTTATAATGCACACGCCAGTATGCTTCTGTCTACATGAATGTATCTGTGCGAAGATCTTTTACTTAATCCTTCTTGAACCGTTAGTAAGGACTTCAACTGTTTTGTAAAAGATAAGGAGGAGTCTCTCAAGGATGCTCTCAAAACAATGTTTATGACAGACATCAAATACAATTGAATAAGTCAAAACAAAATCTAGACACTTCTTTAAAGGATATTCTGGCAATCTAATTCTTTGATTAGAAACAAATACATGTGGATCATGCAGATCACCCTCATCAAATTTGTATTGCATTATACAATAGGCCTTTTTTATATTACAAGCATTTAATCCTTCATATTTTGTGTGTCTCTTCATTATAAACACAATTGCATCAAGGCCTGGTACAATATTGAAATATCAAGCATCGTATTCTTCGTTCATTACTTTATTCTCAACGATCGGTGTACACTTACGGCATTCTTTCTTCTCTTATCATGAACTCTCAAAAAATGAAGTGGTTCTTAATGAATAATTTTGAATAACCCGAATAAGTATTTAAGGCAATAATGGTGGTCGTAGTAATCTTGACCGAAGTGGGCATTAGCATGGTTTGAAAAGACACATGTAGCCATTCTTTATTCATGATGAAAAAAGGGTGAAGACCTGTTTGTTCTTCAAACAAATAAATAAACAATCAGGCAAGCAAACAAACAAATAAACAGAAAAAAAAAACGAAAGAAAAACGCGGGAGCTTTTATACATGTTACCAAGCAAAGTCTTGTCCCACGATGCTCGCAGGTCGGATGGGCGTTTACTTTTGATTGGATAGCGCCTTCCGGTTGTTATCAAAAATACGGGCAAGTAGATGATTCAAAGCGGGCAATTCGGAAGAATGTGAAGTAGGGAGCTCATTTCACATAGACAAAAATAAGGCACGCCTTTAGCAATTGCGATCATGGAAAGTCTTGTAAATAATTTAAATACTAATGTTTATTTCACTAACAAGCTCACATATCCTTTAAGCAAGAGGGCGGGGGAAACTCCAGGTCCACCTCAAGCACATCTAACTCCATGATGTCTGCCTCGCATCCAATAATTGACCCCAAACTAGGCTGATTCCGGCCAAGGTCTCCATGAACAAACTCTTTGATATACGTCCCTGCCTCTGTGTGCAAATGAACGACCATGAAATGACCTTCAAGTGGGAATGCCTTCAATGAATGGATTTGCTTTTTGCGGATCATTTGAGCACGCCTATATGATGGTTTCAGTTAGGACTTAATTAATGCGCCATGTGATTGTTTCGTATCCAAATTATAGTTTTAGAGAGAGAGAACCAGATACGCATACCTCTGAAGGACGCGAATAGGGGTTTGCTGTTCAACATAAAACGGCTTGTTAGTATACTCGTTGATTGCATTAATCATAGCCTGGTCGACTGGATTAGACGTCCAACATAGAGCGCTATAACTCTTAGTCTTGGTTTCTTCGCCGTCCTTGATGACCTTGGTATCCTCGGCTGTAATAGCAGCAAGACTTCGGATCTGAACCTTGTGAGGCATGATAGTGTTAATCTCCGTCTCAAGACTTTTGATAGTCTTATTAGGTACTGATGCTATCCTGGGGTTTATCAACTCAATGCAGAATGGCCGCCCGTTGCCCAGCATGCGAACGTTGGCATCTTCGCGGCCTGCGGTGGTAAACTTGTAGTCTAAAAGATTTGAGTATTATATATAATCACATCATGGGCACTCAAATTCTTTATTACTTATTGAGGCTTTTTTTTTTTTTTTTTTTTTTTTTTTTTTTTTAAAAAAAAGGCCTTACCATCTGCACGGAAAGCATTCTTAATGGTATCGCAAACAATACCCGAGACGGAAAGCTCTGCAAGCATAGTTGTTCCAATACTCCAAGGTGTTTGACTGACATCGCGGCTATATTTGAGGTAGCGACCTCCAACATAAACGGATTCCCTCATCATCTCGATGGATTCAAGTTCAGGCTTTGTTGTAATTGTAGTCGGCGGCACGTTCCCAATGCTGTGCAAAATATTCATCAGTCTGTGCAGTCTACAATTCTTAATATGGACAGATTACATGTGATCGAAAATATGACTTACGAGGCAAAGCGCTCATCGCTCACGCATGTAAGGGCCTTTACAATATGATGTCGGCCGTCGCCAACGACGATGGTTTTCCTCTACAAGCCATACCATATCATTAATCGTAGCTTCAGTAACAACAATTACAAAAGTATCAACCAACAAAAAGTTCAAAAACAACGTAGCATACGTTCTCCCTCTTAGTCTTGATAACCAAGCCTGATTCTTTCATCCTCGAAAGAAATAAATGATCATCCTTTGTCTCCTCATGCTTGATTGACACCTGTATTCTGAGCTCACTCTGCTCAATAAAATCAAAAACGGAAAAATAAAAAATAAAAATAAAAAAATAAAAAAAATTAGCTGGTCCGTTATACCAATTTTCTATCGCATGTTCAAACCGCTCAAAAGCCTTTTTTTTGTTTTCATTTCTGCTATCCTCACTGAAAAATCTAAGGTTAACCCCATTCGCGTCTCTATTGGCCAACTAATCAAGAGCTTGAAGACTTCTTTGATATCAACTTGATTTTTGGGGTAATATTCGAGATGTTGATTCCAGTAGATCCCCACTGAATGATTCCTGATCAAGGTGCTGGTTGGAAGGGTCACATTCATGTTAAAAGATTTTGTCTCGTATGCTTCCTTCTGAATGCGTAGCACAATCTCATCGACAAATTCCTCGGCGTATTGAACTGTTCCTACACATGCTATGCAAATAGTCTCTTCGTCCGCATGTAAAGTCGTTGCATCGTCCTGTGGAGATAATGTTGAGGCATGTCGAACTAAAATATCTTTGATCTCTTTGGAAGGTAACTCATAGATCTCATAATCACGCACGCCCAAAAACCTCAGCATACACCGGCCACAGCAAGCTATACCGAATAAGATCTTGATACATGATGGGTTCCTGACAATCTCCTTGATACCCTCCAAAAGTGCTGCTTCTAGTCTCGCTCTCGGTGCTGAAAAAAAAAAAAAAAAAAAAAAAAAAAAAAAAAGTCCTTGTTAAATCCTGAAATCCGATCATTGTCATGGCCAACTTAATGAAAAGAGACAACTACATTCGCACCTGCATGACTATCTTCTTCTTGCTTCAGTCTCTTGGCCTCATGGTCCAGTCCACTAGCTTGGTCAGAAGGGTGCTTTGTACTGGACATGATCACCAAAATGCAAAGTAATTTTTTACTCGACAGAGCTTCCTGTTACTCACTCAAACAACAACTTGCTCAGCCACCCTACGCTGTGGCTTCATTTTGGACTCCAAAAGGCAATCTGAAAACTCAGGTTTTGGACACAACAGTGTTACAAGGTCCATAAAAATAGAATGAATTAAGTTTCTTGGAGTGGACTAGTCAGCGAAAAGAACGCCACAGCCCAAAATTCCACTCAGTTTATAAGATACAATCGCGATATTCACTTAATAGACTTGCACTGTGCTCGGATGATTTGATGCAAGATGAGATCCAAAAGGCCGTTGTTGCTGGTCTTTTTTGGAGAGGATAGGAATGAAAAATAGAAGACCAATGACATTCATGCATGTAGCCAAAGATCGCAAATACTTTCCAGGGGTATATCTGCAAGCTGAGCTCAGTTTTCTGTCTGTCAGATGAACTTGCGATCTGAACCAAATGTTCATATTTACAGACAGACGAATTCCCATTTTGTCGTTGGAAGCTTCTCCATATCTTATCGACACTTGCAGCATCACTTGGATCGCGTTTTGTTTGATCATTTAAAATCAGCTCGCCACCACCACTTTATCTCTTTTTTTTTCTTTGACCTGTTTTCTTTCTCTCCCTCTCCTTTTTTCTAACATCTTGTCATCCGTTAAACCCTGTCATTATTCTTGTCGCCTTTACTTTATTCGGCTACCACAAAAAAACAATAGCCATATTACACAAATCGAAAAGAAAATAGTCAGGATATCACTCGCGTTTCGTCTATTTTTTATTTTTACGTTTTATTTTTATGTCATTCCTCCTTTAAGACTCTACATCCAAATATTTAGTCAAGGAAACGTTCAAATAGTCAAGTGTCAGTAAAGACATTTCGATAGCAGATCAGTCATCTTCACAGCTACTTTGCTAACTAGTGAGTACTGGCTTTGGTAACAACCATTGATTTAATGGGTCTGGATATACTTCTAAAGCATGGATTAGTAGAAATATAAAAAACGCGAAAGAGAACAAGTTGTGCAGCGTGCGACTACATGAATGCAAAACGCCCTCAGTACTTTTTTTTTTTTTTTTTTTTTTTTTTTTGGGATACGCACGCAAAGAGATATGATGTTGTTTTCGGGGTAATAGGTACGAGGGTCAGAAACTCAACCGTGTCTGGTTCATGAGGACACATGAACATTGTTTACATGACTAGCCTTCATTTCACAACGTTAATGCAATGGAGCGACAAGCTCAGGAGAGATGGAAAAAAGTTAACAAGTTGAGCAGAGAGTTTAAAATATGTTCCATCCTTACTTGCCTCCTCTTCTTTCCTCTTCTCCTCATCCTTTTTTGTTTTGCTATCCTATCTCACTATCTTGACTCTCTCCTCTGGATTTCTCTTCAGTTTACATTTCTGTGCACTCTTCATTTGCCATCCTCTGTCTTTGAAACGGATATTGTACGATTTGAACTTTTTCTCTCGCCTACCATGACAGCACAAGCTACACTTGGGGGATCGCATAAACTATGACCTATACTCACCTGTATCTCTCTCTACTACTGCTACCTGCATGTTTGCAGCACAAACCAGTCCTTACGTTCACTAAATAGCTCGCTATATCACATTAAGCTCTCTATAACCGTAAATGGATCCCACTCAGCAGCTCGCTGGTACCAACGGACTTGACGTGGTCCCTCCACTCGCTGCAGACGAATGCCCATCACCTCAGATTCCCGGCCAGGCCCGATTGGACGCAGCTGTGGGTAAAGCTATTGGAGGTACTGTCATCCCCTCCGATATTCGTCCCACTGACCTGCCCAATACAGAAAAACTTGACAACAGCAAGTCCGGAAACCCTTCCAGTAATGGCACGGCTATAGCGGAACCATTGCCACAAACATCGCAGCTAAAACAGAATGGAAAGACGGACCCAAATATCTCAGAATTGAGTCGATCGACTGTGGAAAATACCACTACGACCAAGGCCACTATTGTAGAGAACAGCAAGAACCGTATCCCTGGAGCTTTTCCTGTTATATCACGTATTGGCTGGCTCGAAGCATACAAGCGTACTGATGGCCCCGATAATGAATTCCGTGACAAGTCCATCTGGATGGAAGAGTTTGCAAGTAGCGCACTATTTGGTGCTTTCTGGCACAATGCCGCGGCCCTTGTCGTCATTCCAATTGTGTGTTATGTAGTTTTCAAGCTTGGAGGGGGTTTTGTATCCTTGATCCTCATCATTGCATTTGGAGGTAGGCTAGTGGATCGAAAAAAGAGGAATGTTGTCTATGTATTCGACCAAGACTGACAACCCATGTAAAATGACACCTCATTCATTTATTTAGCAACCTACTACAAGAATTCAATTCGTCGCTTCCGTCGCAATGCCAGGGATGATATTACGCGCGAGTTGATAAAGAATGTGGTACGTATCTACATGACAACCTATTGGCATACTTGAGTTTCTCAGCATCTTCAGAGACCAGCGTTTTCTTCATGCTCAACGTACTTAATCAACCATATCTTGCTGGTACTTCATCTACAGCTCGAAGACGACGCAGAGACAACCGAGTGGATCAATAATTTCATGTCTAAATTCTGGCTCATTTACGAGCCGGTGCTAAGTGCAACAGTTGTGCAAGTGGTCGACAGTATTTTGGTTGATCAGACACCTGCTTTCCTCGACTCGATCCGCCTTACAACCTTCACTTTGGGTACAAAGGCACCTCGAGTTGAGAGCGTTAAGGCCTTCCCAAAGGCTGATCCCGATGTAGTGGTATGTGTTTCAAATTGTCTGGACCAATGGACCTCCTGAGAGTGCGATTTCATGAATAGCGCGTCACACGCATTAGATTTTTTCCAGAGGCCATGCTATGTTCCGCCCGATGCTCAATTGCTCACTATTATCGTTTGTTTGCCCCTCTTTTAGTTAATGGACTGGCGTGTGTCGTTTACACCCACAGATATTGAGGATATGACGCCAAGGCAATTGAGAACGCAGATCAATCCTAAGATTTGCTTGACCATCCGTGTTGGCAAGGGCATTATTGGCGCTGGCATGCCTATTCTTGTCGAGGACATGTCCTTCAAAGGATACATGCGCTTTAAGATCAAGCTGACATCCAACTTCCCTCATATCAAGACTGTTGATTTTTGTTTTCTAGAACCACCAGAGATTGATTATGTCCTGAAGCCTGTTGGAGGTGAAACATTTGGCATGGATATTGCTCACGTAAGTCTCACGCTCTCTAGTTCATTAGATTTTGAAACGTTCTGCCGAGTCGCATGCATGCGGTGAATCAAGCTTGTTTGATGTTGAGCCATGTTATTTGGGCTTTTGGACATTTCAAAAATAGATCCCCGGTTTGCAGTCCTTCATCCGTGACCAGACCCATGCCATCTTGGGGCCCATGATGTATGCTCCAAATGTCTACACACTTGACTTGGAGCAGATGATGACGGGTGGCGCATCCTTGACTGCCGCCACTGGTGTAGTTCAATTTACAATTTACAATGCCAAAGATCTCAAAAACACAGAGTTGGTTGGAAACTCTGATCCTTATGTCAAGATCCGTCTTGGTAACCGTCCTGAGCTCGCTACTACTGCAGTCAAGGAAGATACGTAAGTGATCACCACCCTAATACATAAGTGTTAAACCATCATTGAAAATATTTTACTCATAGCGTTTATTGACACTTCATAGCCTGAATCCTGTCTGGAACGAAACCAACACTATCTTGATCAATAACTTGAACGAAGTTGTTTGTATGGAGATCTTTGATAAGGACAATGTCCGCAAGGATCGTCCATTGGGCCAAGCCGTTTTTGATTTGAAGACTTTGGAGGAAGATCCCCTGCAAGATGATGTTTGGTGTAAAGTTCTCCGTAACGGCAAGGAGCGTGGAGCTATTCGTATCCGTGCTGCCTACTTCCCAGTTCAGACACCGCAACCTTCTGCCGATGGAAAAGAGATGGTTCCAGTCGAGTCTAATTCGGGTATTCTAGCTCTCAACCTTGCTCAAGCTAAAGATATTGCACGCACTGGAAAGACCAAATCGAGCTGTAAGGTCTATCTTAACGGTTGCTTGGCGCACACAACCAAAGCTATGAGTGGTGCCAATCCTGCGTGGGGGGCTGAAGTTGATCTCTTCATCACTGATCTGGAGGCCGCTCAGATCGCCATTGAGGTTGTGTCAGATGATAACGTTATTGGTTCATACGGCGTCCCTGCCAGCCGTCTACTCAAGGATACTAACGACAAGGTTGACTGGGTTACTCTCCAGGGCGGTGAAGGCACCGGAAAGATGAAGATAACCGGTGTTTGGAAGCCTGTATTGATGGGCGATGACCTGAACCCGAATACTCACAAGCCTGCCTTTGGTGTTATTCGTATTCAAATGTTCGGTGGGCGTGATCTTCGTAATGTTGAGATCGGAGGCAACTCTGATCCATATGTCATCATTACAGGTGATAAGGGTTTGAGTCGTGGACGGACTAAGGTCATTGACAGCGACTTGAATCCTGTCTGGAACGAGATCTTCTATGTCGCTGTAAACTCGATGAAGCAGACCTTTGGATTTGAATGCTTTGATTTCCAGAAGGTTACAAAGGATAGAACCTTGGGCAGGACTGAATTCGCTGTTAGCGAAATTGTGGAGGAACTTCCGGACAAGGCTGGATATGTGGCCCGTCCAAAGATCGACCGTTGGGCACCTCTGATTCAGAAGGACGGCAGCAGCAAGGGTGAGCTGCACTACGAGCTCTCATTCTTTCCATCACTTAGGCTTGCCGAAGAAGCTACTGAAACTGAGAAGGCTACGGCTGCAGCTCCTTCTAATTCCAGTGACCCTAAGGCTGCGCCCGTTGAAGTTGTTGATACCACCGATCCATCTCCCAACAATATGCAAAACTCTGTCAAGACCGCAGTGGAAACTGCATCCATCACGTTGCCTCCCAACACTATCTACAAGAGCGAGGCCCTGGACTATGACTCTGGTATTTTGGTCACCCATTTGATCGGAGCTGAGCTAGACCGGTCCAACACATACTGTGAGTTCTACATTGATAGTGATAGCTACCAATTCAAGTCTCAGGTCCAAAAGTCTCGTAATCCCAAATGGAACGAGATTGCTGATATCTTTGTCAAGGAGTTGGAATATGCCAAACTGAACATTCTAGTCAAGGAAAAGTCGTCTTTGGAAAAGGATCCTATTATTGGCACTTTCTCTGGAAGCGTGTTTTCACTCTTGGAATCCACACCTAAAGATGGTGCAAAGTTCCCTATTCTAGACAAGGCTGATCAACGCGGAACATTGCACTTGAAATTTGAATACCTTCCTGTGTCCATTGAGCTGCTACCCAAGGAGCGCCTGGATAATATGGGCAACATGGCCGTAACGCTCATTCGCGCCAAAGGTCTTATCGCTGCTGATCGTAGTGGTTCCAGTGACCCATATGTTATCTTCAGAGTGAATGGCAAGGAAGTCTACAAGTCGGAGGTAGTCAAGAAGACTCTGGACCCAGAGTATAACGAGACTTTTTCTGTACAAATCGTAAGTTGTCTGATTTTTTTTTTTTTTTTTTTTTTTTAATGGTCAAGTATAATCATGAGGTTATTTGAATACGATTTATGCGCTAACAACGATCATATAAATTTGTTACCACGGAAACCTTGTTTCTCTAGACCTCTCGTGCAGAAGATCAATTCACATTCGAGGTGTTTGATTGGAACCAGCTTTCTACCGCCAAGTCCTTGGGTTCGGGCTCATTGAGCCTTACCAACCTCCAACTAGTTCTTCCTAATGAATTCATGATTCCACTGAAGAATAAGGAGAATAGAGGCGAGATTCAACTGCGCGTCAAATTTATGCCTGAATTCTTGTCATCCAACAAGAGGTCGAGCTTTGCAGCGACCTTTATTGGTGGAGGTGTCGGCGTTGTGACAGGAGGTGTTGGTCTGGTGGCTGATGGTGTTGGAGCTGTCGGGCAGGGCGCTTTGAAAGGAGTGGGTACTGTAGGTAAAGGTGTCGGTACAGTTGGCAAGGGTGTCTTTGGAGGCATTTCGGCAGGCGCATCTGCTTTGGGCCTGCATAAGAGGGACAAATCTGATGCAGCACCACAGCGAGCACTGGAGCCTCATCCAAGCATGATGCCCACATCTGAGGCACCCCATACTGCTCAACCTGTTCCATCTGCTCTGGCAGTTCAGGCAGCTTCGACCGTTCAAGATGCTCGGCTCACCAACTCTGAAGGCACTCTCAACGTCAACTCGTCCCCTACTCGCACAGGCTTTGGAACCAGCCGCTCACGTACATCTTTGGTCGACAACGGTGATATCATTGGTGAGCCCGGTACGTTGACCATCCACGTGATCGAGGCAGATGGTCTCTTGGGGGTTGACAAAAGCGGAACTAGCGATCCTTATGTCCGAGTATCGCTCGGTGGTAAGAACTTGCTTAAGACCAAGGTTAAAAAGGAAAATTTATCACCTAATTGGAACGAGTCTGTAGTGGTACCTAACATTACAGGACACCCACTGACGATCAACTTTATGGTCCGAGACCATAACACACTTGGAAGTGATAAAGATCTGGGTGAATTCGACCTTCGTCTTTGGGAATACATCCAGCCTCTAACCGAGACTCAGTCAGGTGAATATAAGGCAGACTTCTGGGCACCTCTCGCTAAACCATCTGGTGGACGTCTCCATCTCATGCTTGAGTTTGAGCCTGCAGGCGAAGGCAGCGATGTTGAGAAGAAGAGAAGGGGTCTTTTTAGCAGAAAGTAAAAAAAAAAAAAAAAAAAAAAGTAACAGAAAATAGTAAATTGTATAATATATACCATACCAATATATGTATGTGAATAGACAGCCATTAAAATAGCTTTTTATTTATCTTATTTTATTTGTTTTTCTTTACAAGTCTAAGGATGCATACCACGTTGGTTTTGTCTTGGATATACTGAATAACAAACCTACTCCGAATCTTCATCTTCATCATCCTCTTCTGACTCTGATTGTTCCAAAAATTCAATCATAGGAGTCGCCTACAAGTTATAAAAAAAAAAAAAAAAAAAAAAAAATAGCAAATTAACAATAACGCACATAAAGTCAGTGCGATAGGTTCAAGTTGGTCATAAAAAATAAATAATAGTAATAATAATACTAACCACTTTGTGCAGTCTCTTCTCCGTCTCAGTGCCGTCCCGGCTTGCCTCAGAATGATACCACTTCAAGATAGAGTCCTCCTCTGCAATTTCTTCGTCATAAAAGTACCGCAATGTAGGTGCAAAGATCTTTTGTGCCAGAGCTGGGTCCTCATATATGGTTGCACATGCTTTTTGTAAAATAAACAAACCATCAACTTGATCTTCTTCATCATGAATCATCTTTCCAATAAGAGGGCCCCATTGTGTCAGAACCGCCTTGACTGTCTTCTTGGAACCAGCTTTAGCGCTCAAATCGATGTTCTTGAGCACACCAGGGATAATTCTCTTGCGCATCTCATGAAAATTGGAATTAGAGGCCATACGCAATGTGTTTAACTCTAGGGCTGCAATGTCCACATCATGATCCTCTTTGAAAGCACGTTCCAAGGTTTGAGTAATCTCACGGTCCAGTTCCTCTGCAGGGTTAACCTCATCTTCCTCCACATCTGATGCTTCACTCTCAAATTCAGACGCAGATTCCTCTTGCTGTAGCGTCTCAAAGTTGAGTGCGGACATATCAAATGCTAAACGGTTCACCTGCTTGTTTCTTGGATCGACTTGATCTTCCTCATCATCTGAATCCTCTGCTTCCTTGAACGAGCGGCCGTGACCTGTAGCACCAACGACAGCAGGCTCTGATACCAGTTCATCTTCTCCTTCTTCCTCATCAGGTAAGGCGGTAATACGACTATAAGGTGGTACAGTCGTGTTGGCTCCTATGATCACATTGAATGAGATTAAGCAACCTTTGCTGACAGTCACTCCCTGTTCAAGAACTGCTCCATTAGCAATAATACTACGCTGAACCACACAGTTGTCCTTGACCGTGACATTATCCCAAATGTATGCATTATCGATCTTGACATTAGCACCTATTTATAAAAGAAAGAAAGAAAGAATAAAAGGAAGAAACAAAATTAAGAAACAAGCAAAATTAAGAAACAAAATTAAGAAATAAAATTAACAGGTCTTATCACTAACTTTACCAATGACACAGTTCTTGCCAATGACACAGTTAGATAGCACAGAATTCTCAGCAATCTGCGTATTTGCTCCGATGACCACTTTTTCCTCCACGACACAGGTTCTGGAGAGAACCACGCTCTTCTCCTTATAAACCAATCCACGCCTGTATTCATAGCAATCCCCTGTTGGCAAATTACTGTCAGGTACCATCGGGAATGTCCATCGAGAGATGATGTCCTTGCTAACGGCATCATACATTTGTGTACTCCGGACACGGGCTGCATAGACATCACTGACTTCATGGAAATGAATGGTCTTGCCCAACAGATCTGAAGTCAAGATACCATGGACAAAATCTGCTCGGATGTCCTGATAATCGAAATTCTCTGTAAACAATGCTGGCACTTCAACAGAACAAATGTCGATTTGACAATCAATCAGATCATTTCGGATCTGGATTTCGGGGTGTTTTTCAAAAATCTCCATATCCATAGTCATTCTCCGATCCTGGCGTGTACTCTTGAACGCCTTGACAGGTTGGTAGTGCAAACATTCCTTTGACGACTGATCCAGTACAAAAAGCGATCCATCACCTACAGCTCTAATGTATGATATTTTTTTAAAAAAAAAAAAAAAAAAAAACTATTCATTACACTCAATTCAATCACACATGGGATATCACCGAGTGACTCACTATTTGTTGTATTTGTTCCTTCCTATTGATTTTTTTTTTTTTTTTTTTTTTTTTAAAAAAAACGTACCGACTCCTGTGATGTGGACTAGCTTTCTTGAGAACCATGGTCATGATTGCACTTTTATCAGCCTGACGTCTGGCACGATGTTCCTCCAAGACTTTGTCCAACTTCATGTTTGAGACCACATCTCCACTGACAAGAATGAAATCCGTATCGATTAACTGCTTAGCATCAAGTTCTCTCATGGCGTCTCCGACCGAATAACACTCCTGTGATACGATCGTATGAATCTTCATGTTGGATGTCTTTTCATATTGCCTAAAAGTCAAAACAAAAAGACGCGTTGCCTTTATTGTCAAAAGCCTTTTTACACACACATATAAAGGCAAAAACAAAAACAAAAACAAACTTACTTGACATAGTCCTTGACCTTTTCGGAATGAGAGCAACAAAAGACATAGATCTCCTGAACACCAGCAACAGCTAGGAACTCGAATGTGTATGAAATGAGCGGAACATTGCAAAGAGGCAACAGGCACTATAGTTTATCCAATAGATATTCTTTTAGTTTCAAGCCTCTCTCTGTTGACTAGTTTTTTTTTTTTTTTTTTTCTTTGGTTATAATAATAATAAAGGAAAAAAAAAAAAAAAAAAAAAAAAAAAAAAAAAAAAAAAAAACTCACTCGAGCAGTTTCAAGAGTAATGGGCTGGAATCGCTCGTCAAAACTGTCAGCAAGAATGACCGCCTGCAATAGCTGCTCTGTGGATTCAACTTTTTCTTTTGGAGGCATTGTGTCTACAAGTGGTGGGGAAGAAGGAGGGCAAAAGGAAAAACACAAGGCGCACTTTAAAGGATCGAACAGAGAGTGTTGCCGAAAATAAACGGGCATAAACTGTCCCATTCCTTCATACATTTCAATCCTGAAAAAGCACAGGTGATCTGCCCTTAAAATACTGACTCACTCGCACCTTACAATTTCTTCCACTCAAATGTGACTAAATCCATGGCTCAGCCACAAACTACAAATTATCCTTTAAAAATATAAATATGAATATATTTTTATTTATTTATTTATTTATTTTCGGGTATTATTATACAATGCGAAAAAGCTACGAAGGAGGGTGGAGGAATGATGTATACAGATGGCTTCCAGCGCTGAATAGATAAATTTATAGACAAATGGATGAAGTTCGAAAAAGTAAAAAGAGCTGGTTTATACAATGTTGTCGCCTTGGTTCTGGTGACGCTGCTGCGTGTTCTGCTCTGTACGGGAATTCAATGCAGAGGAGGTTGAGCGAACAGAACGAATTGAGGCCTTTTCAGCGTGGTTGTCGTGGTGAGGATGTCCGTATTGATGATTGTGGTGGTGGTCAGCATTGTACTCTTGAGCCTCGACCTCGTCCATGGTCAGGGTCTCGGGTTGGGCGACCTGACGTGCTTTCCATTCATCGTTACGGAACTCACCCTCCCATCGGGAGATGACAGCGCAGGCAGTCATGTTTCCGAGGACGTTGATCGAAGTACGGGCCATATCCATGAAAGCATCAACACCCATGATCAATGCCAACGGGGCCAGGGGAATGTTGGCATTTGACAAGGTTGAGATCAAGACGATGAACGAAGCACGGGGCACAGCAGCCACACCCTTTGAGCTCAGCATCAAAGTAATCATGATGAGAATTTGCTCTCCGACGCTCTTAGTGATTCCAGCAACCTGGGCACAGAAAATGGCGGCAAGGGCGAGATAGAGGGTCGAGCCATCCAAGTTGAAAGAGTAGCCCGTAGGGATGACAAAAGCAACAATCTCGGGAGGGCAGCCAAAGGCAACCATGTTCTCCATAGCTTTGGGAAGAGCAGACTCGGACGATGCGGTAGCGAAGGCCATGATGAAGGGCTGACTAACGGTCTTTACAAAGTCTCTAAGGGGAATACGGCACAGAAGGATGATGGGGAGGAAGACCAAGATTGCAAAGATGATCAATGTAGCGTACAGAGTTCCGACCAGCTTTCCAGAAACAGCCAAGGCTTCAAGACCATACTTGCCAACAGTGGCGGCAATGGCACATCCAATACCGATGGGAGCGTAGTTCATGACGAGCTCAACGACCTTGAACATAATATTGGATAGTGAAGCATTAAAGTCAAGCATGACCTTTTTTGATTGAGCATCGGCTCTCATGATTGCAACGGAAAACATGACGGCACAGAAGACGATGGCCAAAACAGCATCGTGCCGGGACATGGCCCCGAAGAATGATTGAGGGACGATCGTCTCCATCTCTGTGACCCAAGTGATGGGCTTGTTCTCTGCCGTAGGGGCCTCCAAGCCATCCATGGAGAATCCGTGTCCAGGCTTTGCGATGTTGACAGCGAGAAGACCGATGATCAGAGCAAATGTAGTGACGACTTCAAAGTAAATGATAGACTTTAGCGCGAGACGACCGACTCTCATAAGATCATCTCCATGACCGGCAATACCGACAACCAGGGTTGAGAAGATTAGAGGTCCCTAATAAAGGCGAGGAAGAGTTTTAGCTGATTGAGAAAATGGACATGTAGATAGATCAAGGGATTAAGAAGCATATAAATTATTGAGAAAATTTAATCTTTTTGTAAACTTACGACAATGATCTGAATCATGCGGATAAAGACGCGTCCCATGGGCTCAAGCTCGACAGCAAAAGTTGGAGCAAACTTGCCAACGATGATTCCAATGATCATGCAGATGACGATCCAGATGGTCAAATTGGTGTACTTGCGCAGGAAACGGAAGGTGAGGGCGAAGGGGAAAAAGACGGTGGAGAAAAAGCTGCGTTTTTGAGTGGCAGGTTCATCTGGATAGATGATGGGGCTGTCATTGTGCTGGGCTGCAGCATCCTTGCGCTGGAACAAGTTCTTCATTTGATTCTAATCTTTTATTTTTGCAGGAGAGTGGTGATGGGGATCCGAAGGCTGAATACTAAACAAGACTAGGAAAGTTGCAGATTCTGAATGGCAGGTAGAGAGATAGGAAGATATGAGCCGTGGGAGGAAAGGAAAGAAAAAAAAAAAAAAGAACCAGAGGAGAAGGAAAGGAGAAGAAGAAGGCTTGAAGAAAGAAAGAAAGAAAGAAAGAAAGAAAAAAAGAAAGGAGAGAAGGAAAGAGTGAGAAGAAGAAGAAGAAGAGGAAGTGGAGATGAAAAAGAGGAATGGAGGTGGAGGTGGAGATATTTATACAGGATTGGAAAAGGAAAGGAATGGGAGAAAAAGGCAAAAGGCAAAAGGCAAAAGGCAAAAGGTAAAAGGTAAAGGGTAAAAGATAAAAGGTAAAGAGTAAAAGGTAAAAAGTAGGTAAATTATTATATAAAATGTAAAAGGTAAAAAAACAAAAGAAAATGTCCGTTTTTGATCAAGATTAAAAGGTTTATATTCAGTAGGGTAATAGATAATTGTTTTAGAGTCATTGGATAAAATATCTTTATATTATGTATTATATATTGAATTATTTATTGTACTCTATATTATAAATATTTATTATATATATATATATATATACGATAGTAATTTTATTATTTACATGATTACATGGATTACATGTTGTAGAAGACTATCGAGGTTATTCATGTGTAATGTTTGTATGGATTTCTTTTCCTGGAGCAAAAGCATCGATCATACATATATATATATATATAATATCTAGCATATAAAAACAATGTTGATTCCGTGGATCTTTATTTTTTGTTGTTTTCATCTTTTCATCTTTGGCATAACGAATCGAAAATAGACGCCTCCTTGCAGCGAGGACTGACTACACACTTTGTCGATCCTTCATCTCCATCTCCATCTTCGCCTTTACTTTACTTGTTCTTGTTCTATCCCATGTCTACACTATAGTCGAACCCTGTATTTTTGCTCTTTAGCCTGTCGACCTCAACCAAATGGTGGTTGAAGCATATTGAATAGGGTTTTATCTGAATTTCACCGGTGCTTTTTTATGTTTCCTTGTCCTTTTAAAGTTGTGTCTAGTAGAAACTCTCAAGACAAAGCTCACACTAGACTAAACCCAGGCTTATGCACCAATTCGTAACTGATTACATTTTCTTTTCTTTTTTCTTTTTTCTTTTTTTTTTCTCCTTAAAAGAGTGATCGACGCTGTGCCTAGATTGAGTAATGGGGAGGAGTGTGAGAAAAAAAATAAAAAAAAAAAAAAAAAAAAAAAAAAAAAAAGAGAGCAGAGATTCGAGAATGAATTTAAGAATGAAGTGTTCTACTGCATATTCTGCATATTACACAGTAATCAATCCCACAGATGACTGGTGGGAATCCAGGAACAAATGGACGAATAACCGGATTATAAACAACATTATATATATATATATATTATAAATGTTTATACATGACCCAGTCGCTTCCATTGGCCCCATTGGCCCAGTTCTTTTCAGCCGTTTTGATCTCGGTCATTATCTAATTACAATCTAGCCTACAAAATCACATTTGTGTATAACAAACATCACCAAAGAAGCAACCCTTTATCTTTGATAAAGAGTATCCTTTCTAAGCATGTGCTTCAGACCCATGCTCTGTTCGTCTTTCCTTCTTCTTGTCTTTGTCCTTGTCCTTGTCCTTGTCCTTGTGGGAATAAACAATGGGAGTGTACAGGACTGTAGTTCAATCATGTCTGTGCAACCAAAAACGGGTTTGTTTCTTTCGTTCATCTCCCCCCCTCTTTTTGAATCCATTCTCCAGCCCACCAGACCATAAAAGTACCGAAATTGACCAAACGGCATATTGATTGAACTATTTAGGCATAAATAAACAATACACATTCGCCTTGTATCGACACAAAAAAAACAAAAACAAAAACAAAAACATCTAAACATTAGTCTCACTCGCTTTACTTGGATATCTCCATCCCCGAGGCTATCCTTAGCCCAATTTTTTTGTCTTTGTCCGCGTCCTTCATCGACTCCACACATGCCAAAAAAAAAAAAATAAAATAAATAAAGTCGACCATACATTTTAATGAAGAAAAAAGCATTTTTTTTTTTTAAACAATAAGTAGTCTGTCCATATTGTATCTATTCCGTCGTCTAGAGTGCCCCCTCCCTTTCTTTTGGTTTTTGGCTTTTGATTTTGTGTCCAGTTCTTCGTGTGGCTCGGTGAGCGAAGCTTTCCTATCCTATTACATGTTATATACATACATGTTACATTTTGTTTGTCCGACTTGTTTTAGTTTATTCATGTACAGTAGATAGTGTATATTCTTTGCGTTTCTTCAAGACAAGGTTTGCCGTCCTAAATTCAAACGTTGTTTCTTTGCCAATCCATAGTTTTTTACGACCCTCTTTTCGCCGTTAGGCCGCTCGTCTGTCGGTCTACGAGTCCGTGTACAATGCCAGTTAGTAATGCCGTGTACATTTCATGTCGTATCTTCTCATCCTTGTGTCATATTAAAAAATATTCCTACATGTGTATGTTCTAGTTTAACATTAAATGCTATCCACTGTACATGTTTTGTCCTGCATTAAAGAAAAAGGCTCTTCTTGTCAATTACCATTACGATATCTATACGAACTTGCATGTATTTGCATATGTAAAAATGGAAACCGACAGGTACACTCCCACGCTATGTTTGTATTGAGCAGAAAAAAAAAACGGCATAACTTGGTATATACTTCTAGGCGCAGAAGGCTCGTTGATTTTCGCTCTTGTCTTCTTCTTCTTCTACTACTTTCGCTTGTATTTATACGGCGTGAACTTCCCACGCCATTCATTTGGAGAGTTTCAATTTTCACCTCAAATGACTTTGTCAAAACGATACAGCCTCTTCTTTGGGGTGCCAGTCTGATTCAATCGGATATATAATATTTTATGGATAGTCTTGAATGAATGAATGAATTGGTAGTGACCAATCGATTCAATCATCGTTTTTTATATTAAAAAAAAAAAAAAAAAAAAAAAATATGTAGTTCATCTTTTTCTTATACCAATCCCCAGGTTCATAATTCTAGCGCCCGTTTAGTTTCATCCATGTCAGCATTGTCTGTGATCACACACATGTACAAGTGCCCTCGACAGATACATTTGGCACCAACTCTTATTAAAACCTTACCTGGCCTTGCCGATTAATTACCCTACCGGAGAGTTTCTTTTTGTTGCCTTTGGTGTCCACCCTGGATAAATGAGTACAGTACCTTATCCTCGTTTAGTTGCGAACATATTCTACCCTTTTATTGATTGAATTGACTTCAGAGCGATCATGGTACACTGAATTAATATGATTTTAAAATATGTATAAATTAATAAATAAAAAAATAAAAAAAAAAAAAATAAATAAAAAAGAGAGAGAGAAAGAGTGGCTGATGTCGCATGGGTTAATGAAAAGTATATATTCTCCGAGAGAGTAAATGGCAGACACTTGTTCTACAAGCACAACGCACGCGAGATGGTTAATTGTATTCTTGCAATCACAGATTGACATTTGTATGCAGAGATGTAACGATGATCATGGCCCCGTATATCATCCAGATAACCGGGGGATATGCATGATTATGAAGCCCATGCATTCATTGTCCGTTGTATAAATGTACATGTAATCCGTTTCATTTGGTTGGGATCCCTTATATTTTTTGGGTACTCTCGAGTGTATTGGCGAGTTTTGTTGCAAGTTCGTCACGTAGTGAGATGCTGCCAAACCAATTCAATCATTGTTTTTAGATTATATATGGGGATCGTGTCCAAATGAAATGGGCGATAGACTAGTCTATGGCATTGTTTATTTATTTGCTCCTGTGATGATATCATCATCCAACATAAACTTTATATTATTTTAGCTATTTAGCGGAAAATTTGCTTCTATAAACAATTATATAATAATTTTACTAATATTAATAGTAATAATAATAGTAGTATATATATATATAGCATATATAACATTATAGATATGTATTTTCTGTTGCCACCAAAAGATCTGACTTGTCGTTCGCGCATTAAAGTCTTTCTTCACTTCTCGTAATTCGATTTCAGATGCTTCTTCTGTCTCTCTCTGCCCAATCCCGTCAGATCTAGAAACTAAAAATAAAAAGCAAGTGTTTCATTAACCATCTCAATGTTCCGGATTCACTCGAAACAAAAAAAAAACGCGCCTAGTCGTTATTCTATCCCCTCATTTCCCTTTCTCTATCCCTACCCTTCCTCCTCCTATACCGCTTACAATCCCCAAACGGCTCTTTAGTGTCCTTTTTTTTTTTTATTTTTTTTTTTACTATCTTACTGTCTATTTGTTTGTCTTTAATTTGGCAACAATGGCACAAACACTGCCTTTAAAGTCGATCATGCCCTCTGCATCTTATGTAACGGCAGAACCAACAATAACAAATATCGCACACTCATCCGATGCCAATCATGTATGCCGTTGACAGAAATAATGTCGTGGTATTTTTTTTTTTTTTTTTTTTTTTTTTTTTTTAAGCTTCGTAATTAAACCAATATTTCTTCTATTATCTTTTATTTATGTCAAGGTGCCAACCTACATTTCGACGCGAGAGTTCACCGTTGGCGGGTTAACATTATTGCTGATCGCGCTCTGTAAGTTCTGTAACCATTTCTATGTCAATTAAAAGTTGGATTTGAAAAAAAAAAAAAAAAAAAGAAAAAGAAAAAGAAACTAACGACAACCCACCATGCTTAATAAAAATACACTGCATGTTAAAAGGCTGTCTTGCCGCAATGATCACGCGCTTTCAACGACTAGATCGACAAAATGTCCTCGCAGTTGATCAACAAAAAGCTCTCGTACTGAACCAGGGTATTATCAACAGATTCTTCCCTATCCGTATTTATCCCACTTCTACTCAGTATTATTTCATGAGCACCAAAGATGGTACTTTAGTTGTTGCAGATTCATCCAATCCCGCAGAATATGTCCAAAAGTTGGAAGAAATAGAATCAGCTGCTTTTGAAAAGCAGCATTATCTATCATCATCAGATCAACAACAACAACAACAACAGCAACAACGACCCCAAAATGCTGCCATCATGAGTTTATCCCGACTTGGCCGTTTATGGAGTCGTGACTCTTCACCTCTGGGCCGTACATCAAGTTGTAACTCTTTTAATTTTTGGGGGGAGGCTCCAGCTCGCATGCCGGCGATCACTACAATGGCACTTCAGAGAACACCAATGGTACGATCTTCAAATCCATTCGTGATCCCCATCCAAACAAACGTGACAGTAGATTGCCAGGTTGCTACAGATCCTGAGACAGGAGAGATCTGTTCAATTTGTCTCTGCGACTATGCCATGGGCGATCGGATCCGAGTGCTTCCATGCAGCCACGAGTATCACCCCGAATGCATTGGTAAGCGCGCCTCTCTCTCTCTCTCTTTTTTTTTTTTTTTGTGTGTATCTTGCACTTTCTTATAAAAATGCCCTTTGGATTGTTTCCTAGATGTGTGGCTCTCCACCAAATCAGTCTTTTGTCCGCTCTGTAAGCATGATCTACTGAGTGACATCCTGCCCATCTGCTCAGATTTCCAAATTCTCAAGATCTAGTCATGTTCGCATACTCCTTTTCTTCACTTTAGCAGTGTAACTTCAATCATACCATCTCATCCCGTACACAATTCTTTTTAAATTTATCTTTATCTATCTCGAATGGAGCGTTATTTTATTTCATTCTATGATGACTCTTGGTCCCGTTTGATCATATGGTAGAAAAAATAATGGAATGCATCACCAAGCGTTGATGTTTCCACAGTCCAGCAGGGCCGTTCCAGGTGCCTTTTCCGAAAGTGAGGTTGGCCAAAAGTAATGTACAAGAACTGACCGCCCACCTTCAGGACTCGAACAACCTCATCCACTTCTTGTGCTACAGTCCGAACAAGCTCTGCATCCGGATTCCAGACATCACCACGATCACACATCAAGGCATCCATCGTACCCTTATCGATCGCAACATCAAAGCTGCTGTCTTCAAATGTGAGATCCCGGATATCCATCTCAATCCCTATTACGTTGTTGTTTCGAACCATGTCATCAAATTGAATCTGTCAAGACGCCAAAAGGGCCATAGGAAGCAAAAATAATAACAACAACGATAATAGTAGTAATAAAAATGTGATTACACCAATGATGGAGAGGGGGTTTTTCTTTTCCTTTTTCCTTACATTCCATCCCAACACGTTCCTTGCACTTTACTTTCATATTTTCTATAACAGTCTTTGAAAAATCAATGTTGACAATATTATGATACCCATCGTCGTACATGTCTTCTGAGAGTGCTGTTATTGTACAAGAAAAAGAAAGAAAAAAGAAAGAAAGAAGCATTTATATTTGTATACAGTCGTGAATAGTTGAAGAACGGAGCAAATTCAAAAAAAATAAAAAAAAAAAAAAAAAAAGCAAGTCTTTGAAGAACAAGGAAAATACATACTGGAGTTACCGCAACCAAGCATTAATATCCTAGCATCTTTTGATTTGATGTGTTCATTCAGCAAAGGCTTCAACTCTGCATAAGTCTTGAACCAGTCAAACGATTCTTCGCGCGCATACCGCTCCTCCCTGTAGAGTTTAATAGTAAAGTATTAAATGTATGAACCGATATTTGGGGATCTGATTGATAGCACATTTTTGTCATCTGCTGTTACGACCTGTGCCGTCGTTTCTATACCAGTAATCCTTTCTTTTGTAAGCGGTCGGGTCATCGGGTACATCTGCATAAACCATTTGTTGACAAGGCGAAATGAAAGTTGGGGAAAGGCAAAAAAAAAAAAAAAAAAAGATCTGTTTCTGTTTGTGTATGTGTGTTGTTTGCCCGTACTTGTCATGTGGCGCAGAGGATACCATTTCTGTCAGAGACCAAACTGATCAGAATCTCTTTTCAATCAAACCGGAGACACACGAATTCACCATCACTCTCAAACACTAAAGTACCCGTCATGTCAACTCAGGATTATCTTAAAAAATACATGACCAAATCAACATCGGTGGATGAAAACAAAAAACACAAATCAAAGAAAAAAAAAATCACCAAAGCTATAGTTAGAAAAGGCAACTTTGCAATTCATGACGAAGACGGGGATACATGGCGAACCCCTGCATCAGAATCCGAAGACGATAGTACGTATTTTGTCTCTTTGGACATCGCTCAAAGCAGGATTTCCTCGGTGGGGTCTTTTTTTTTTAATTTTTTATTACAATGTTACTGAAACCAACAGTCTCCTTCCATTATCATTGCTTTTGGCAACGTTAGTACCTATCATAGAACAGCCAAAAGCACCAGTATATAAATCAAGCTCGAGTAACTGGACCACTATCCGAGAAGGCGAACCAGAACCATCGCGCGAAGAAAAGCTACAGAGAAACGTTTTACCAGAGTGGGATGATGTCGAGGATGAGGACGAACGACCTGCGATTGCTGGCATTGGTAAGTTTATGGTCTAGAAACTATCAAAGCCGTTTTTATTTATTTTGCTTTATTTGTTTCAACTCTGCATTATATCGTCAGTGCTGTCAATTGAAGTCTCATTACCTTCTATTTTTATTTTTATTTTTATTTTTTAGTTGTGGAAACCGAATCATCTGCACGTTTGCGGAAAACAACCAAGAGTACAAAGGAGTCATCAAAACCAAAGGAACGATGGAGAGAATCTTCAAAGCCCATTATGAATCAGGATCACTCACCAGCCCAAGATGAACATACAGCTATCAAGAGGAAGGTACTTTCGCCATCGCCACCACTAGTACGAGGTCGCTTGTCAGAACCATCAAGAGGCTATAGACATTCTTCCTCATTATCGAGATCACGGTCACGATCGCCTATTCAACAAAAACGAAGGAGGTCATCGTCGCGTTCACCCTCGCCTTATTCAAGGAGAGAAGACCGAAGCCCATCATCGCCAAGCTCACGGGCTCGATCAGTTGAACGCATGAGCTCAGGAGCTGCAGTGGGCTTGCAAACAGCTACCCAGGTGAAGTATGATCTACAGCGGCGGCAACAGGAGCATCAGGAAAAAATGAACACATTAGATCCCACCAAGAGTGGTCGAGATTCAGAGACAGTATATCGCGATGCTCAAGGTACATTCACTGAACTTTATCATACGGAACAGAGAGAGAGAGAGAGAGAAAGAAAGAGAGAGAGATCTTATTGTTTAGCATGGGATTAATGTACATATGTTATCAATATCTAACATGGATCATTGGATTGTTTTTTAAATACTTTTTCTATATTTTGCAGGACGGAAGATTGACCGAGTTCAGGAAAAAATTGAAAAGGCGGAGGCGGCACGTCGTGAAATCGAAAAACAGGAACGTATGATGGAATGGGGTAAAGGTCTTGTACAGCGTGAAGAGGAGGCTGAGAAAAAGAGGAGAGAAGAGGAAGAAAAATTCAAGCCTCTTGCTCGATATATGGACGATGAAGAACTGAACGAAGAACTGAAGGAGCGAGAGAGATGGAATGACCCAGCGGCGAGGTTTTTGTCAGGAACAAAAAAGACCAAGAAGGCCGTTCGCAGATACCCAATATATCAAGGAAACATTCCGCCAAATCGGTTCAATATAAGACCTGGCTATCGATGGGATGGTGTTGATCGTTCCAATGGATTTGAGAAGAGTTATTTTCAGGTAATGTGTTATTTTAAGTATTTTTTTTCTTTTTCTATTTTATATATATATATAAATCTTTTTATGGTTTGTTTTATGTACGCTTACTAACTAATGGTATCTTGGTTTACGGCATTTTACAGCGCATCAATACACAAAAAAACAGAGCTATGGAAGCACATTTGTGGAGCGTGGAAGACATGTAGTTTTGAAACTTTCATTGCATTGTCCAATAATGACTATTATAAATATTGTATACTTCTTCCTTTATACTTTTTTGGGTCGAACTTTTACTTGTAGATTGAGCATGACCCTTCTTTGCAATGCACTTCCAACTGCTTGTCTTGCTTTCAATGTGAGATCCCTAATTACAGATCCATTAGTGCCAACAATGATTTTCTAAAAATGCAGATGGATATAAATAATCATCAATATAAAAAAGAATACTTGTAGTCCAAAATGTTAGATATTATTCCAAAAAAAAAAAAAAAAAAAAAAAAAAAAGATTACCTTTAAGCCTGGTCGTTCAACTATCAAACTTTGGTCAATCCTAAGTACTTGGTCCTGTAATTCTGTCCACCCAACGTTTTCTTGCTTGACATTATATGGGACCTTGAGTATCTCATATAACACAGATCGGATCGAATCTTCGACACGGCTTAGATCTGACCGGTCAGATTTTTGGTCCGCTGGATACAGCCAAGGCCCTGGCTTTGTGAGGGACATGAGATGTGAACGAAGCTCATGAATCCCAACCACAGGCGCTTTGGCACTAGTGTAAATGACCTTTACAAAATTTGGGAACTTTTGATTGTATTCTTGAACAAACTTTTGCAATTTCTCTTCTTGACCTTTTACTAGGTCCATCTATAGCAAAGTTTTTTCATACAGGAAAAAAAAAAATGTTAGAAACCCAAAAAAAAAAAAGACTAACGAAGTATTTTCATGAGTGTTTTTTTTTTTTTTTTTTTTTTTTTTTTTACCTTATTGAAAATTAATGTTGCAGGAATGTTAGTTTCCATTTTTTGGAGTCTTTCAAACAAATATTTTTCTGTGACCAGTGAATGCTCGAGAAGCTTATGGCAATCCATAACGACCAGGAGATGATCTGCATCCTCAATTGCTCTCCAAGAGGATGTCACTAGTTCTCGGTTTAGTCTTGATATGTTTTTCTCCGGAACTACCCCTGGCGTGTCGTAGAATATGATTTGCTTGTTTTCCTGTGCTAACACGGCTCTAATCCTCTCTCGTGTAGTATGAGGACGGATCGACACAATCGAGACTGTACTTTTGACAAGATCGTTCACAATAGTGGATTTTCCAACATTGGGAGGCCCAATGAGGGCAATCTTGGCAATCTCAGGGTTGTTGGGCTGAGTAAAGTCTCGAACAACCTTGGGTAACCGGACAGTCATGTCTGCAGGACTGGTGAAAATTGGCATGTGCCGATCTGGTCCTTGCTTATGCTTACGTTGATGTTGGTGTAACGGTTGGCGAGGTACATTTTCCCCTTGCGCTTGTGGCGTAGGATGAGATAATAACGGTAACGATTTGCTTGCAGGATCATGGATCGATCCGGTTGTTATTGCGACAGAGTCAATAGGACGTGATAATGGTGTCAACTGCGTTGTAAGTTCCCGTAGCTTGAGTCTCTTTTCCAGAAGATTCAGCTTCAATTCTTCTAATGATTGTTGGGTCGCTGTCGTGTCCTCGTTATGTATGCTGCCTTGGTTACTGTTGCTACTGCTATTGCTCTTCGCCTTGCCCTTGGGCTTGGTTGTTTTAGTGGTAAAGTGACAGTGTGTAACCCCCCGCATATTCAGAGCAGCATACTTTAACTCCAATACACACCCTCCAAGCTGCGATTGTGTTGCTCGTATAGTCCGAAAGAGCATTGTGCTGCTGGCACTCATAATGTGATGTGTTATTCAAATGGCACCCCTACCTTCAAGACAACAATGTCTCTCGTCTTTTTGACTACCAAGTATGCTTGCGGTCATTGTGGCTGAGACATGTTTTGTTGTTTCACATTGCATTTTTGGTACCTTAAAAAATGATGCCTTGCATCGCAAAAAAAAAAAAAAAAAAAAAAGTTTCATTGTGAATTAGTACAATTTCCTGTCACCATTCAACGCTTCCAACCTGCTACTCTTATAATGAAATCTGCCCTCAAGTGGGAGGTGCTTGCCAAGTGCAGCACTACCAAAGCCAGGGCTGCTGTCCTCACTTTACCTCACGGTCCTGTCAACGCACCTGTTTTCATGCCTGTAGGAACTCAGGGCACACTCAAAGGACTCACCCCTGATCAAATCAAGGACCTTGGATGTCAAATCATGCTTAATAATACCTATCATCTGGTATATATATATTTTCTTTTGATGATGGCTGTTCTTTATAGAGCTTGTGTGTGTGATTGATCGCACGACTTACCTCAATAAATTTTTTGAACACGGCGACGATTCTTAGGGCCTTCGACCGGGTCAGGAATTACTGGATAAATGTGGAGGTGCACATTTATTTCAAGGCTGGAATCGTAACTTGCTAACTGATAGCGGTGGATTTCAAATGGTATCCTTGTTGAAATTGGCGGAGATCACAGAGGATGGAGTTCAGTTTGAGTCACCGCATGATGGGTCATTGATGTTGTTGACACCAGAACATTCCATGTCCCTTCAAAATTCGATCGGAGCAGACATCATGATGCAACTGGACGACGTTGTCTCATCCTTAACAACGGGGCCTCGTGTCGAAGAGGCCATGTGGAGATCTATTCGTTGGTACATATCTACGGCGTTATCAACTCATACCGTGCAGAACTTGAAATGTGAGATATTTCTTTCTCCAATCTCATGTAAACCTCTTTTCTCCTTTATTCTTCCCTCCCAGGCTCGATAGATGTATCAAGGCACACAAGAAGCCCGAAACACAAAATCTATTTGCAATCATCCAGGGAGGATTGGACCCGGAGCTCAGGAAGAAGTGTATTGAAGAAATGTTAAAGCGCGATACACCTGGATACGCCATTGGAGGGCTCAGTGGGGGTGAAGAAAAAGACAAATTCTGGAGGGTAGTGACGCTTTGCACAGACTTGATGCCACGAGAGAAACCCATCTATTGCATGGGAGTCGGGTATGTTGTTTTCTTTTTAAAATATTTTTCAATTGCTTTTTTAGTAGATGAGAATTATGTATCGCTGATAGGATGAGTCCGTTTATGCTATTTTTTTTTCGTCTCCTGTATACTGCTTTAGTTATGCGGAAGACCTGGTTGTTTGTGTGGCATTAGGGGTGGATATGTTCGACTGTGTATTCCCTACGAGAACAGCACGTTTCGGGAATGCATTAACAGCAACAGGAACACTCAGCTTGCGCCAGGCAAAGTTCAGGGATGATTTTAGGCCGATCGAGGAAGATTGCGACTGTGTTACCTGCAAATCATACACGAGAGCTTATTTGTACACGCTGGTGACCAAGGAGACCGTGGGCTGTCACTTGGTCTCGATTCATAACACTGCCTATCAACTCAGACTTATGAGACAGGTGCGCCAGAGTGTCATTGAGGACCGGTTTCCACAATTTATTCATAAATTCTTCAAAGATTTATTTAAGGAGAAGGATGCATATCCAAAGTGGGCCGTCAATGCTCTAAAGAGCGTCAACGTGGATCTCTTAGCAGGAGAAGAGAGCTGAATGGTCCTGAAAAAAAATAAAAATGAAAAGAAAAAGACAGTAAAAGCTGTGGGTTGATACGTCATGAGAGCTTTTTTTTTATGGTTGCTCTCTTTTCTCTTTTGCATGTGCCATTCCTTTCTCCCCATCTTTTTCCTTCAACGTCTAACATCCCGCTTCGCATTCCTGTTGTTTCTCTCTCTTGTGCGCACACACATTTCTTTTACACACCTACACAGTGACGCACAGCAACATTAAGAATTAACGGACGTTAAGCCCACTCAGATAAAGAAACGACCTTTTTTTTTTTTTTTTCTTGTCCGAGCATCAGATCCATCTTTTCTTTAAAAAAAATATAATTAAATAAAAGATCATGGAATACGAAGATGTTTTGACGAATCAACCCGTTGTCATCGACAACGTGAGTCATTGGAGATAATTGTTTACAAGGAGAGGACATTGCACCTTGCAACCTGAAAAATAAACCATTGTTAGTTGATACGTGTTTTTTTTTTTTTTTTCTTTTTTCTTTTTCATGTCTAGGGATCTGGAGTCATCAAGGCCGGCTTTGCTGGAGATGACCAACCCAAGTGCTTCTTCCCTTCTTTGTAAGTTTAAAGTAGTTTTTCAAGATTCATTTTTACGCGTGCCTTCTAAAGCCATAGTGAACCAAGCAATCAAATTGACAATGGCTTGTTGGGGATAGAACATCCCCACAACCCAATGGTTTAGCTGACTAAGACGATAAAAGCGAATATTCTCGGTTGCAATGCATGCCTCTTACACATCTGTATGCAACTTTTATTTTTTTTCTCCATGTAGTGTGGGACGACCAAAGCATGTCAGGATTATGGCAGGAGCAGTCGAAGGAGATGTGTTTATTGGCAAGAAGGCACAGGAATTGCGAGGCTTACTCAAGATTAAGTATCCGATCGAGCACGGCATTGTGCAGGATTGGGATGATATGGAGAAAATATGGCAGTATATCTACACGGATGAACTCAAAACCATGTCTGAAGAGGTAAAGTTTTTTTTTTATTTTTTAAAGACTGAGGAACCTGTTCCTGTCTCTCTCTCTCTCAAAAATCATGAACGCGCGTTACGCAGAGGTTTTTCAACTCAGGCAAATGTGATATACTTTTAGTATGACACACTATCATGTGCAATTTTTTGTTTGAGTGTGCCTCAATGTCATGCGCTACCTGTTGCTCTCTCTTTCTCTCTTTTTTTTTATTATTTTTTTTTTTTATTGTTTTGTTTTTCTTTCCAGAAGGATCAAACATGCTCTCGATTATCCTAGACTTCAACATGGAAACACTTGCTTGGACATTGCAACTGAACAATACAATTTAATTGGTCATGGTTCTCTTTACAATACCAATAGCATCCAGTTTTGTTGACTGAGGCACCCTTGAATCCAATGAAGAACCGTGAGATGGCAGCCCAAATCTTTTTTGAAACTTTTAATGTCCCCGCCCTCTTTACCTCCATACAAGCAGTCTTGAGCTTGTAAGTCATGTTCTGGAACCAAAAAGGCATCATAATATTAATATCTCTAGACTCTACATTCGGTCTTCCACACATATTTGAATACAGGAACTGATTATGAAGGTTCATTTAGGTATTCATCTGGACGAACAACTGGAGTGGTTCTTGACTCTGGAGATGGTGTGACTCATGCAGTACCTGTGTATGAAGGCTTCGCTATACCCCATGCGATCCAACGTGTTGATATCGCCGGCAGGTGCGTAGTATGAAGAGGCGAACAGCATTATATCCTTTTATTGTCATTACTTCATTATTGTTGTTACTATATTACTGAATTACTATATAAGCTTGATGTGAATGGTTGTACTAACCAAAAAATTTGTATCTCATGGGCTCATGGGTCGCAGAGATGTCACGGAACACCTGCAGCTCTTGCTTCGCAAGGCAGGCTATCACTTCCACACCACCGCTGAGAAGGAAGTTGTGCGTATTATCAAAGAAAAGAACTGCTACTTGGCGGTTTATCCCGCCAAAGAGGAAAAGGATGCAGGGGAGAAGAAGGAGGACTTTATTTTACCTGATGGAAACACGATCAAGGTAAAAAAAAAAAGCACTTTTTTTTTTTTTTTTTTTTTTTTTTTGCTACAAAATCGGATCTAGTCCTCTAACACATTAGTATGATTTTGCTTACTAGCTGGGAACCGAGCGATTCAGAGCACCCGAGATTCTTTTCAACCCAGAGCTTATTGGACAGGAATTCCCTGGTATCCACCAGGTTGTTGTCGACTCAATTAGTCGTTCAGATATGGATCTTCGCAAATCGCTTTACGCCAACATTGTCTTGTCAGGAGGATCAACTTTATGCAAGGGTTTCGGTGATCGCCTCTTGAACGAGGTGAAGAAACTGGCTCTGAAAGAGATCAAGATTAAAATCTCAGCACCCCCAGAGCGTAAATATAGTACCTGGATCGGAGGGTCTATTTTGGCCTCTTTGAGCACATTCAAAAAGGTAACAGTCAAGAACAATGTGCTGGCCAAAGAAATGATAGTCTTTTCCAACTGTTTGTTCACTTGTCATAGCTGACATAGCTGATCTTTTTTTTTTTTTTTTTTTTTTTTTAATCTATAGATGTGGGTTTCTGCAGAAGAATACCAGGAGGATCCTTATAGATGTTTCTCTTCTATGTGGTAGTAAGAGTATTACCTCATATCTGATCAGTGTTACTCAAAATGAAGAAAGACGAACAAGGCGTTTTTAATGAGAATAAAAAGTATAAAAAATTATAAATCTGAAAATACGCAAAGAGATAACCAAGCCTAATCTTAATTCTAATCCTGCTCCCCCTCCAGTGCATGAACCCTGGAAAGTATCAGTGTTTCTAGAGTATTTATTTGCACATGAAAAAAGAACAATCAGGAAGAGGAAGAGTGCTACAGGATTTTGACCAAGAAAATGAGCTATGCAAGTGAAATTGGAAATTGGAAAAGAAAGACAGTGTTCACAAACGAGTAGCAGACTTATCGCGAGTCTCGAGAAGATGTTGGACACGCGAGACAACCCTGCGCCCAGTATCACCTTCTGCTCCTTTAGCAGCAGCGCCGGTGTTGGAATTTGCACCTTGGGGTAACCGGGATGCTGCATTGTAATTATAGTGATCACTGCGACTGCCAATGGATCCAGTCAGCCAGTTGCCGGGTCCGGGGGCCACGTGGCCTAGAACGACATTAGGATGCCCATCAGCATCCAGCTCAGCCTTGTAGACATAGTAAGGCTGCAGAGATTTAGTGGCGTTCTGCAGATGAGGTGTACTATAGATCGGGAATGTTGCCACAACACCGCAGACACCGATGAGTTGACTGTTTTTAGTACGACCAATGCCGCGTCCCTGGACAACAACAGGGGTCGAAGGTTCATAAAATCCATAAGTAGGCCCAACTTTGGTACGAACATTAGATCCAATGAAGGGAGCAGGCGATGTGTTATTAACCGTGGTACTGCTATTGCCAGTGCCGACAGAGGCTTGTGAGGTTGAAGTGTCGATGGAACTGCTCTTGGGTTGTCTGGAAACAATATTCAAGAAACTAAGATGCTCGTCGGTACGGTATTCATTCTTGGCAACAGCTTCCTTCCATGCTTGCCTCTTCTCCCGTGCAGTCTCAAGCAGCTTTTTAAATTCAGCATCAGTCAAAGTTGACAGATCTTTCCTAACAGCAATGGGTTGAGGTTGTGGGGGACGTGACCGGGGAAAGTTCTCCTTCCAGCGCTGTAGGAACAAATAATCAGAGGAGCCAGACTTGAAGGGCGTTTGGTGCTCTGCTGTGTCGAGTTGTTCAATGGTGAGGTAGTGTGTGCGGAGAACTGTGGGAAGGTTGCGTTTCAAACCCCAATCGCCAATCGCTTTTGCCTTTCCAGAAGTAGTGTAGATCTGTGGAATGGTCTTATCGAATGTGGCGAGACGAGATGTCCGCAGGAGATGGGAAAAGGACCGCTCCATATTGGACAAAAGAACAGATGGAGAGTAAGGGAAGGAGTGAGTGATGTGCCTGAACTATGAACTTACTAATGCATGTAATCTCCCGAGTGAAGTAAACATCAAGTAGTGGCTTTTCAAAAAACCGACCTTGCAAAACTGATTCAAGCAAACAAACATAGCAGAGCGATTGTCCAATCAAATTAATCGAATATTTTGTACAGACGCGTTTTATTCTTTTCTTTTCTTTCTTTCTTTTTTTTTTACGACACAATGACTTTGTAGAAACGAGGCCTACAACATTAATTATATTCATCTTCTTTTCTGTCTAGTCAAAAAATAAAATAAGAACTTGTAAAACACAGTCAGAAGTAGAATCCTATCCAGCCTAGTTAACGATATAGAGGTTTGATCCTGAAACACTTTCCTTTGAATCGCGGGTTGGGTCACCCTTGAATATTTGGTTGAAAAAGAAACCACGCAGACCGATATGAAAAAGAGCGGTATCAAGTTATAGAGGCACTCTTGGCTATAAAAGGCTGTTCTTTTGGTCTTCTTAACCATCAAGTCAGCCAACATCCTCTCTCATAACAACAAAACAGGCACAACGATTATAACAAAAATATAGCACTTGTATAACTTGCTATCATCATGACTGGGATCTCCGATACTTTCCACTCTGCTGTCGGTAGTGCCAAGAAAGGACTAGGCAAGGCTGTTGGCAGTGAACAGCTTATCGCTGAAGGTATGAACAAAGCCTGATGCCCTAACTAAATTTCAATTCAAGCATGAGCATGGCTTTTAATGTTTATTTGAAAAATGGAAATAGGTGCCGCTGAGAAGGCCAAGGCTGAGACTCGTGCTGCTACTGGCTCTGCTCAGCAGCAGGCACAGGGGGGTGTCTCTGATGGTATCGCTGGCAGAGCAAAGTCGCCTGTCGATGCCGCTACTGGCAGTACTGCCGCAGAGGCTCAGTGTCATATGCAAGAGACAGCCGGCGATGTTCGCAGGGCTGTCAACTAAGGAAAAAAAAATAGTGATAGGCTAATTCTCACATTACAGCATGAAACCAGTAGAAAATAAACGGTAGCGCTGTATGAAGCGTTGAAAATTATTAAGAGCGTCTGTCGGTTGAAATGGTTCCTCAAATCTTTTTTTGTGATAGTCCGGACCGAACAATTTGTTTTATCTGGTGATCGAGATTGCCCTCTCTGTGGAGTGACAATGTAGTCCTTGTCGTGAACCGGAAAACAAGCAACAAGCATGCGCATGGAAATAACTAACCAACCTTAAAAAACCTTTCCCCTCTCCATTTTCCTTCCCTCTCAAACACACATGCATTCTCCTCTCTCACTCTTTCTTTTCTTTCTCTTTTAATCCTGTCAGTCATTCATTCCCACCATGAAGAAGAAGGCAGCGTTAGTCTGGAACTTTTTGTTACCAAAGGCACCATTGCTCATCAAAACTACGGTCAGTCATTTTACCTTTGGACCAGCAAAGCCCTCATGGTCTTACAAGTTTTCCATCACTATGGCCATGGCAAGAGCATTCGCCGCCCACTTGGAGGACGTGCCTTTGAAGCAGTCCCAGATCATGTCTCGGCTTAATGACAAATATGCACCTATTCATGCTGGCGCCAACTCGTCAGAATCTACTATCCCTAACACTTACAGAGACAAGGCTGCAGTATATGTCAGTAAACTTTTGAGGGACCAAGACATTGACTCTGATAAGCTCGGCTGGGACTGGGAACATGATCCTAGAATAGAAAAGCCACTTAAAGGTGAATGGACTGAGACTAAAGTCAAGGACGAAAAGTTCGCAGAGGGGCGAACAGTTCTGTACCTGCATGGTGGAGGATATTTCTTGTGCTCGATCCGGACCCATCGATGGGCGACATGGAACATGGCAAGGCTTGGAGGAGCAAAAGTCTTTTGTAAGCCAGAAACAAACAAAACAAAAAAAAAAAAAAAGAAAAAAAAAAAGTTCCCCTGACATGAGATCTTCAAAAGCATTTGAAACTTTTAAACATTCCACTAAAAGAAATGTCATTGGATCACATTAATTGATCTCAAGCACTTGACTATAGGCTGGCACCAGATTCGCCTTTCCCTGCTGCCTTACATGACGCATTGGCCGCTTACTTGTACCTGCTTGATCCACCCGCCGATTCCAATATCACTCCCGTAGATCCAAAGAATCTTGTCATCATGGGTGATAGTGCCGGAGGAGGTGTGTAAAAAATGACTGCAATGGTCGCTTTGTTTCAACTGTTTGCAAGCCTCTGACGGTTCTCACATCTGACCTCAATAGGATTAACATTTGCTACCATGCTCGCAATTCGTGATGCGGGACTTCCTCTTCCGGCTGGTATCATTGGTTGGAGTCCCTGGATCGATTTACTTCATTCTATGCCATCCCTTTTGGAGAACACAGCTTCAGACTACCTACCAGCTGAGGGCTTTAGCCATGGAGGTCAAGCCTCTCTTAAAAAACTGGCAAAGGCTATTGTCCAGGTCACGCCTGGTTTGGATGATGATATGATAATGCAAAAGCTTCCAACAGTGCAACATTATACCAATAATAGACTTTTGCGCTGTAAATATGTCAGTCCAGTTCTAGAAGATGACTTAGCAGGAACATGTCCTATCATGATTGTAAGTGCCATTGAAACGTATAATCTAATATCATATGAATTATTTTTGTTAAATGAAGGACTGATTTTTCTTTATTTTATTTTATTTTTTTATTTTACTCTTCAGATTGCAGGGGACGGTGAGATGCTTCGCGATGAATCCATCGTATTTGCAAAGAAGCATGCAAATGCCCCTACGAGTATTCTACTCCGCGTATACGATGATATGCCGCACGTTTTTCAGATGTTTGGGTTCCTCCCTAGCGCTAAGCATTCACTTTATGAATCTGGAGACTTTATTCGAAGCGTAACTCTTGGTGGCAATGGACTGTCAAGCGTCAAGAACGATGACAACAAGGAGCCGATAAAGAGTTACGAGAGAATCAGTATTCAAGGCTGGAGACGGCCATTAGAGGACGATATCCCTGATTGGAAAGAGAGGATTGGAAAGTTGGGTGGCGGACCCAAGTTTCTGGCCAAATTGTAATGGGGATAGAGATAAAAATTTATACATCTAATAAATGTAGTTTTGATGCTTTGCTGCGCCCTCAATCCCACCTGGCACATTGAAAATCTACGCCTGCTCTGATATTGTCCTTGTTACTGCAAAAGGCCGAGGGTAAACTAGAACAGGTTTTATAACCCATAACGTACGAATATGTTGGCAACTTGTCAGGAAAAAAAATTTTATCCGATCAGTGTCAGTGCTCAACTGAGAACATACCAGGGTATGATGGACGGGCAGTTGTTCAGTGTGTATGATGCATAAGCTATGCACTCAAAGCAAGCAACCGTCATCATCATCAACAGCAGTTACACATCAGCATCATCACCTTCTATTCGGGTAACTTTGTTGTAATACAAAAAGAGTTTGTCGTATATCATTTAAGGCATTGTATGATCAGAGCCCGTCATTTTGCGAGACACCTTCAATCGGAAGTGAAGGTCTCATAAATCTGAACTTGAATTCTTTCACAGTCTCTCTTGGTTGCTTTGAAATGCATTTGCATGTCTGCATTTTCCCATGTCCTTTTCCTCATTCTCCTTACTCTTACTTCTTTTCTTTTTCCCAAAGCGCCATTGCTTCCATACCTCTACAGACTCCGTGTAACCCACAGGGCCGTAAAACAAATAGGCAAAAAGCCATTGTACACATCGTTTTTTTTTCAGTATATATTTCAACGCTTATATACGCCAACTCAATCAAGTCAGTCTTCTTCGCTTCAACTATGATGTCGCTATGGCCTCGTCGCAGTCAGGAGCGACATGTAACGTGCTGTTTGACAACAGTCCTCATCTTTAGCATTCTCGTCATACTACAACCTGTCAACGCTAATATTTTTGGAGTCCTCGTCGCTCGTCTGTCTTATGATGTCGTCAGTATTAAAGAGAGACCCACCAGCCTCAATGGCTTACAGGTTTTCATGGCAGGCGATGACTTACCTGTGGGAGCTATTGCAAAGACCGCTGGCATCCCTAAAGACGGCCTTTCTGTATGTTTCGCTGGAACCTACCTTATCCTTTCAACGATCAATGCAGCCACTCCAAAGTGACCATTGACTTCATCAACTGATTCAAATTGGTCATTTATCTTTCTTCTCCTTCTGCTTCACAGGGTTTCCTCTATGACATGGGATATGGATGTGAAGCAGGCTTTGATGCCAATACAACACTACCCACACCGGAATTGTTTGGCCTGCCAAGGGTTGCGCTGATCAGGAGAGGAGGTGTGACAGAAGTGACTGCATGTACGTTTCGAACAAAGATGCTTGTAGCCATGAATGATGGCGCTGTTGCCGCCATTGTCTACAATAACCCAGGTCAAGGATCTATTGAAGGCGCCGCCGCAGGGACAGATGAGGCCGAAACACCTATAGAGATCCCTGGCATGATGGTATCGTACGACTCGGGGTTCACACTGCGAGGCTATCTCTTGAATTCAAATAATGCCACCAGTCCCAGTTACAATACCCGAGTGCGCATCTCTATGTCTACTGATAGAAGGATGCCGGTTATCTGGGAATTCGTCTTGATTGTCGTTGTAGTGCTTTTAGGTGTCTCATTCACTATATCTGGTACGAGGATCCTTCAAGTCTATTCCATTTTTTTCTTCCTGTTGGCTAACTGCGTTGATGGGATATATATATATATAAATCCGCATCGCTTTTTTTAGCCTCAAAAATTATCTTGCATTGCTAACCACTCGTTATTGTTTTACCGCATTAATTTTGTATCAAGTCATCTTGCATTGCCGATTGTATGCCCTAAGACAACGATACAGAGCGGAAGCAATGGCACGAGGAGGTGACTTGCTTCCAAATGGAACAATCCATATGAGGAAAACTATCGAGAAGGCTGCCCTGGACGAATTCCCAGTCAGGATATATGGACAAAGCACGCCATCAGCTCCCTCAGGGTCAGCAGCAGTATCAGGTACATTGCAGGCGTCAACATCAATGCAATTGCCTACATTGAATCATGTTCAGCAGCTCCCGGAGCTGGAGCAGGATGACTCCAAAACTACTCGTGAAGCTGATGGCCATATTTGCGAGCGTGATGGGTACTCTGGTGGCCACTCACCGCAAGTGGCGAGGACCAACTCTGTCTCGGGCAGATCCATGCGGTCTGTCACAGCTCTTGCAGCCGCTGAAACCCTGGACTCTGCAGCCTATCCATTTATTCCGGCAAACGAAATTATCAATGATACCTGTGCCATCTGCCTGGACGAGTTTTCGGAGGGGGAGGAGATCCGTACTTTGCCATGTCACCACGAATTCCACTGTGAATGTATTGGTAAGTATTGATAGGTCATTATCAACAATTGCTATGGAGAATTGATTATTCTTGGTACCTTGAATTAGACTAATTGGTAAGAAACTATGCTCGTTCCATTAAAGACCCATGGCTCACTTGTAAGAGCTCAACGTGTCCGCTGTGTAAGTACGAGTGCATAGCCCCAACATTAGATAATGCCAGCGAGGATACGTCATATACAAGGAGACGAAGTACCATAGTGCTGAATGACCGATTAATAGGATTTATCATGGGCCCTGAGTGGGCGGCCTCCAGGACTCGACATGATCATAATGAAATAAGCAGAGCCGATCGAATCGGCAATTTCATTGGCAGAATGCGTGGTCGTATACGCGGGCGACCACTACGGCCTGATCACGCAGCTACTCTTGCACAGCCATCATCAACTTTCTCCCCAACGACAGTACGGGTGGATGAAAATGGGGATGTCCCACTCCAGCTAATCACAGCTCAAGGGGTTGAACCAATTACTTCAAGTTCACAGTCTCATAATATATCCACTCGGCTTCATGAGTCCTCTATGGCAGCAAATATTCCACCTTTACATGAGGTACAGCTGCCTTCTTCAAGTAATCAAAATGCCGAACAGAGTCAAGGCCCACAACATGCATAAAGATATCAAGAAAACACAAGCTATAATTGTTGTTTGTAGAAAGCCTTTGTATAATAGAGATATTTGTTATTTTAACCTTGAGAAGTATGGAAATGTAAATCATAATCAATGCAATCCTTTTTCCCCCCTATATTAGCGAAGGCAGTGGTGTGGCTTCCGGAATGAGTCCGTAGTTTTCTACATCTTTGTCATCCAAGTACATTCGCATAGTCCAGAGCTCTATCTCTTTTCCGTCCTTTGTTTTTGTCTTTTCCATATTTGGTTGATAGACGAAGCCTGCCTTCTCCATAGTTTTGCGACTCGCCCAATTACCCACAAATGCATGTGCGTTGAATTTTCGTTTACCGACCTCCTGAATTGCGACCCTGCGAAGCTGCACCTTCAATGCTTTAGCCATCAAACCCTTGCCATGATATTCTGGAGCAAGCCAATATCTACAATGATAGTGAAGATGATATTGTTAACAGTTCATCTGTGCAGAGGCCCTACAATGTAAGTTGCTAAATCTTGTTGTGTCCCCTACCCAACATCATCACCATCGAGCATGTCGTCACTATCATCTGACACCCCAACAGAGCCGATAGCCTTGCCACCTTTTGTCATATCTCGGAAAACCAGATGCAATGGCGTGCCATTCTTAGTGACTCGATCGACACGGCCTTTTATAAACAAATCCGCGTCCTTCTCAGTGTAGGGATAAGGGGGACCAAGGAGCCACTGATAGACTCTCGAGTCATTCAAATATTCGAGCAACGATTCCTTATCTGAAGGTAATAGTGGCCCTAACTGGATAGTTTCTGTTAACCAAAAGGGTGAGTAAGAGTCGTGCGACCTTGCGAGCCTTTCATACTCTTCTGGTGATCGTTCGTTGTTGGTGACAGAAGCGATGATAGATTCTTGTTTAGCCATGTTGTACTGATAGTCTTCTCGTTTGATTTTGAGTGGCCGATTCAAGGTGTATCTACAGATGGAGAAAGAAAGAAAATTAGTTCTTTGGCTTTTATATTTATATATAGCACACATTTCCTCTCATTGTTTGAACATAATTGATGCAGGATGACTGCGATGCGAGGAGTCATATAAAATTAAGCGGCGTGCGTCGCAAATCCAAAACCTTGTCATTGCACTACACTCATTATTGACACATAAAAGTCATCAGATTTGCTTCGTGATGATACATGCATCGAATAACTGCGGATTCCTTAACAAGGGCAGTTAGTCGGGCACTTGCAATATCATGCTCGGTTTAGTAGATCTCTGGATATCGCTCGCGCTGTTAATTGAAAACCAGACTACCACAATTGAAAGCGTGGCGTGGAAGAAATTTCTAGTATTGTCCGTCCCATTTGGTCAGTGATTCTTATATCTTTGAATAACCTTATCAGATTGTAGCTCGTCGCGGAATGTCGAAAGAATTATATGGATCACTGACCAAACGAAGTGGAGCATACAGTTTACTTTTGTTTTATTTTTAAACGCACCTCTCTCTCACGCATCTCTGTCCTTACTACTTTCATCAGGCTTTCCTCTTGAAGATTCATGCCCAATCTCAGCTTGTCCATATCCCGTGCTCTGTTTCATATCTTTTTCTTACTTCCCCTGTAATTTTCTCATTAGTTTGATATCGTGCCTTGTCTCGTGATAGATTATGCCAAAAGCGGGTTTCTGGATATTATATGTGACTCAAAACGCAAAACGGATTTGGAGAAGAACTTGAGGAACTCCGTAGACGCGCTTTTAGAGAGATTCTGGGATACATATGGGTAGTGGTTTTTGCTGATAGATTCTTTTTTTTTTCACCAGTGTACCAAAGCCCGATAATTTTTTTTACATCGAGGAAACTTCTTAGGAATCATCTTTGTAAATATTGATAATACTTGGCACAAATTAAGCTCCCACCACCATTTTGCCATTTTGACGTATAGTTCCTTCAACTTGACTCTTTATTGAAATAACGCTTTTTTTTTTTTTTTTTTTTTTTTTTTCTTTCAAGCAGGTCATGGATACATTTTCGGAGGTTAATGCCGTTACCACTGCTACAGAGTTAGAGAGCCCAAAAAGATATAATTGAACGTCGTCGTCATCATCAAGTCAGAACGATATGTGTCGACTTCTTTTTTATGGTCTCGCTCTCAGATATCCAAAATACCAATTATTCTTACTAACCAAAGACCCTAACTATGATGCTCAAGAAGCAAGCTCGTAGTTATCATTGAGTGCAACAAAACTACGCGCCAGTTTATGCCAAAGCTTGAAAGCTTTAATAGAGCGTCTATTTGCCCTTATAGACGACAATAAGAATATCGCCAGCGAGTACATCATTGCTGGAACCTAGAACACGCTATAGCCATTGCTCTACTGACCTCTTTCCTGCTATGATTCACTACCATAAGTGGGACTTCACTCCTAAGTATCTTCGTTCCACCATCATCTAGAGTCTGCCTAAGACCCACCAAGAGGATATTGGGCGTATCTCTTGAAGCCGGGATCAGTCATAAATATTGGATAGTTTTATTGTTAATCTAGTCCCCTTAATGGGACTGAAAATATATTTTTTTCTAGTAAACGCATCTGATTTCGATCAATCCCTCTGTTCTGCTCAGCGTAAACACCAATCATAATGCCAGCTGCCGAGATCACCATCGATGCTCGACTGTTCCACAGGAGGGCTAGAGGGCTTGTCAACCACTGGAAGGTATGGATCCTTCACCGTACCACAACTACAATGCCTGATAAGAAACAACCACAAAAGCAATCAAATAAAAAAATACCATGTACAGGATGCATGCCACAACTGTTGACGTAATTGGACTAACTTATAGTTACTGCATACATATGGAGTAGAAATCAAATGGACTCGAGGACTCATTCCAGAATGTGGGCTCGCTTCTTGTTATTCTGGGTAACATGAGTGAAGAGGACAACATGTACCAGAAGACCACAGCAATGCAGGTAAATTAAGGAAGCAAATTCGGATAACACACTATTGTAGGACCATATTGTTCCTCAAAGGTGGATTGATACATTCTAGTTGTACTTACCGAGTGGCACTTATGTATCATTACGCACATCGTCTATCCTAGATTTGGCTCTTTGGATATGAGCTTACTCAGACATTGATGCTATTTACACCTGATGCTCTACATGTTGTCACAGGAGGCAACAAAGGTACGTGTATCGTTTTAAGTAGAAGCTGGATGCTTGAAGATCAGAAATCGCAGACGTTTTAACTGATGCCTGGATATCTTGATCTGGGATATTATGTCTATTATATCAGCCAAGATTCTTGAGTCGCTGAAGCAATGGGAGGGTCCTCAGTTTCCCATTGAGATTCATGTCCGCAGCAAAGACGAGGCCCAAAACGAAGAGATTTTCAAGAAGATGGTTGAGATCATTATGAAGCACGGGGTGCGTACATTACTATGTTGCGGTTATATGCTCAGTGCTCGCTAGAAAAGCTCAATAGTGTCAACGCAGGTTAGTGATATTTACCTATTACTTCACATTGAACTATATTTAATTAGGACCGTGTCGGCGTTTTTGCAAAAGACACACAGACAGGAACATTTGCTACATCCTGGAAGGCGGCCTTAGAAAACGCGCCGAAAACAATTGAAAGTGTTGACATGTCCACAGGTGTCGCCGAGGTGTTTGCCATCAAGGATGATGAAGAACTAGTAAGTCTGATGAAAATATTAGTATCTCATTAACTCCGCCTTGTTTTGTGTGTTTCTCTTATATTTTGTTCAATTGTATCCTATTACGCAATACAGAGATCAACCAAGATGGCTACCAAGCTGAGCTCTCTTGTGATGAAGAACTATTTTATTGAAGAAATGACCCAGATTATCGATGAGGAACGTAAAATCACACATGAAAAATTTTCAGAAAAGACTGAGGACGCGCTTTTAGATGAAAAGATGTATAAACGACTAAAGTTCCCAGCTGATGTAAGTTAGCAAGATTTGTCTTTTTTTTTTTTTTTTTTTTTATTTTTATTTTTTTATTTTTTTTAATGACGACTCATATTCATACTCATTAATCAAATAATCATTTTGGTTTTGATAGGCTGCTGCAGGGAACCCGGAATGGTGCTACACACCTATCATTCAGAGTGGAGGCGATTACGACTTAAAGACATCAGCTGTCTCTAATGATAAAGAGCTACATGCTGGGACAATTATCTGCTCTCTTGGTGTACGTTATAGATCGTACTGTTCAAACATTGGTCGCACATTCCTCATCGATCCCAACAAGACGCAGGAAAAGAATTACAACTTCCTTCTGGATGTACAGCGTAAAGTGCTAGATGCCATGAAGGAAGGTGTTTTGATCAAAGACGTCTACAACCGTGCTATAGATTTCATTCGAAACAGGAGACCTGATTTGGAGAAGAAATTTGTCAAGAATCTTGGCTTCGGTGTATGTGTTGCAAAACAACTAATCTAACATGCTTTTGAGCCTTTTTCTCGTACATCCATTGTGACAAAAATTGATTACTCAAAAACTTCTATTCATTTTCCATTTTAGACCGGACTTGAGTTCCGTGAATCGAGCTACCTTTTGAGCAGCAAGAACACTAAAGAACTTCAACGTGATATGATCTTCAGCGTATCTGTCGGTTTTCAGGATATAGAAAACCCGAAAGCCGCGGACGAAAGATCTAAAAAGTATGAATCTGTAAAAAAAAAAAAAAAAAAAAAAAAAAATCATCAATAAGAATTACATATTTATGGACTAGTACAATTTTTTGTTCCGAATAGGTATTCACTTTTATTGATCGACACAGTCAGAATTACGACAGAAACACCACAAATCTTGACTACATGCGATACCAGTTATTCAGAGATCTCTTATTTCTTCAAAGATCCAGCAGAGGAAGAGGAAGAACCAGTAAAAAAGGAGACACCAACACATCAGCGCGCAGCCAAATCAGCGGTTTTAAATACAAAATTCCGTAGCGAGCAAGAGGAAGCGAGTAAAGACCAGGCCCGCAAGGAACATCAAAAAATGTTGGCAGACCAGAAGCAAGCAGAGGGTCTGGAGAAATACGGCGAGGCCGGAAGTTTAGTCAAGGACAACCAAAAAAGTGTGTTCCGCAAGTTTGAGAGTTATAAGAGAGAATCAGCCTTGCCAAAGGAGGTCGGCAGTCTCAGGATTGTTGTCGATCATAGGAATGACACTATCGTACTGCCAATATATGGACTTGCTGTCCCTTTTCACATCTCGACATTGCAAAAGGCCACCAAAACCGACGAAGGGGAATTCTACTATCTTCGCCTCAATTTTATCACACCTGGACAACCAGGAAAGAAAGATGACACTGTAAGAATCCCCTTTATTTCTATCGTCTGTAACTAAGGAGTATATATAGGAAGGTAGAGGGATGCTTTGTTGCAGGCCTTGAGACTCACAATTTCTTCTCTACTTTTTCTACTTTTAGCCTTTTGACGATCCTAATGCCAATTTTGTGCGCGCTCTTTCATTCCGTAGTGCTGATGGTGCTAGAATGACAGAGATTTATAACCAGATCCTGGAGCTAAAAAAGAACGCTGTTAAGAAAGAATCCGAACGCAAAGAGATGGCTGACATTGTGGAGCAGGACAAGTTGATTGAAATCAAGGGCAAGCGACCGCCCAGACTCCCCGATGTCTTTGCTCGACCTGGCTTGGATGGTAAACGTCCTGGAGAACTTGAGATCCACTCGAATGGCTTACGTTATGTATCGCCCCTCAGAAACGAGAACAGGATCGATATTTTGTTCAACAACATCAAACATCTATTCTTTCAGCCATGTGATGGGGAGTTGATTGTTTTGATTCATTGTCAGCTCAAGAATCCTATCATGATTGGAAAGAAGAAGACGGAGCATATTCAGTTCTACAGAGAAGCTTCTGATGCGCAGTTTGATGAAACTGGAAATCGTCGACGGAAGTACGTCTATGGTGATGAAGATGAATTGGCCTCAGAGCAGGAGGAACGCAGACGCCGTGCTGCTCTTAACAAAGAGTTTAAGCAGTTTGGCGAAAAAATTCAGGAGCAGGTAAAGATCCACACGCAGTACTTACTTTTAACGAGGAAAAAAAAAAAAAAAAAAAAAAAAAGAGCGTTCTTGGGACTGATTAATTTTATATTACTGCTTTTATGGATCCTTATGGCTATGTTTTTCTAGAGTGAGAATAAGGTCGAGGTGGATGTACCTTTCCGTGACCTCGCATTTAATGGAGTTCCTTTCAGGACAAATGTTCTTTTGAAGCCAACACAAGATTGCCTTGTCCATTTGAGTGAAGCGCCTTTTCTGGTTATTACATTGGCCGATGTCGAGGTTGTGCATTTGGAGCGTGTGCAGTTTGGACTGAAGAACTTTGATATGGTTTTCGCCTTCAAAGATTACTTCCAGACACCCATCCATATCAATACAATCCCCGTGTCACAATTAGATAATGTTAAAGACTGGCTTGATTCTATGGATATTGTCTTCTACGAAGGACCTGTCAACTTGAACTGGGGCCCCATCATGAAAACCATCCAAGAGGACCCTGCATCATTCTACAAGGATGGCGGATGGTCATTCTTGGCAGCAGAGTCGGATGCTGAGGAGTCCGAGGAGTCTGGATCAGAATTCGAGGCTTCAGAGAGTGATTTTGACGAGTCATCGTCAGAGAGTTCATACTCTTCTGATGCTTCAATGGATGATGACGGGTCGGATGAAGAGGATGAAGACGAAGAATCTGGTGAAGATTGGGACGCACTAGAAGAAAAGGCCAAAAGAGGTAACTTGATATTTCATTTCTTTTTTTTTTTTTTTTTTTTTTTATATGTATATTTTTATTCATTTACCCAACATTTTTTTTTTTTTTTTTTTTTTTTTTTTTTTTTCTTCCCAAAAAAAAAAAAATCCTATGCAGCTGATGATAAGAAATACGGATTCAAGCGTGAGGCCGATTCAGGTTCAGATGATGATCGCAAGAAGAAGCGCAAGCGATAGATACCAAACTATCCAAAAAAAAAAAAAAAAAAAAAAAAAAAAGAAAAAGAAAAAAAGAAAATTCATAATGTAAAACTGTTAGCCGGGCATATTCGCCAATTAACTATTAAAAAAATAAAAAAGGAACAGTTTTTGTAGTTTTCTCGATCGACTTCCTCCTCTACGCCGGAATGATAAAAACATGACAACATGACAACCAGATTGTTCTATTCTCAATTAAGATTGTTTAATGTTCTGCAACAACATCGCTACAATGTTGTGGGAAGAATCTCTGTAGGATGCATTGTCCTTTTGTAGGAGCAGTCAAGCAGACAACTTAGTTATTAGCAAGCTATCTCGAACTTGGAATGTATTATCCAATGGGAGCCCACAAATATCTTGTCGCTTGTAAGGCATGTCCGTGATATACACAGCGTTTCCGTTTACAACATTGCTGAAAGCATTTCGTGAGATGTGTTGGTCGCTATCAAGCTCTATTTCTGCGTGGAAACGCA